CTAATCCTCTTGTTAGGAGTTTTTTTAAAGCTGTAAGACCATCTGTTTTGCCTCTTGGGATTTCTCTTTAGTTTTGAAATCTGTGTACTCAGTCTTTCGAACATTTGGAAGAAGCTTCATTGAAGAATCTGTCCCTGAAGACCTTGTTTTTGGTGGCCATTACTTCGGCTAAGAAGATAGGGGAACTCCAGGCCCTTTCTTCCTCTCCTGACTTAACCACTCTATCCGGAAGAAATTTTTTTTATGTTCCCTAAGCCTTCCTTTCTTTTGAAAGTCATCTCCTCCAAGGTTATCAACCAACCTATTTTTCTTCCTTTAATGGTCCATCTATGCCAGATTGGGAATTTGATTGGAGCGAACTAGATGTGGGTAGGTCTCTGAAAATCTACTTGGACCGCTCCTCTGCGTATAGGATGACTGATCATCTATTTGTGAATTTCTTTGGAAAATTTAAAGGCCAAGGTGCCTCCAAGGCCATTTTGGCAAGATGGCTGGTGGATACTATAAAATTGGCTTATTCTACCTCGAATCTACCTCTGCCTGCCTCCTTGAAAGCACATTCTACTAGAGCCATGGCTGCCTCTTGGGCCGAAAAAGCGTGTGCCTCTCCGGAAGATATATGCAAGGCGGCTACCTGGTCTTCTTTCAACACTATTGTAAAACATTACAGGCTGGACGTATTCTCTGACGCTGATTTTGGGCACAAGGTGTTACAAGCTGTTATTGCCTAAATTCCCGCCCTTAGTCTGGGATCTCGATATATCCCTATTGTACTGCCACCATATGTCAGGAAAAACTGTAATTTTACTCACCGTAAATTCCTTTTTCCTTAATATGGTGGCAGTACGTCAATTCCTCCCTTTATGTATATATTAATTTTTTGGTGTTCTATGGATTCACTGAGGTGTTCTTGGTACGTACTGAGGTCCCAGGGCTGGTTTGGTCTCTTATACCTGGTAAGGGGAGGAACTTTTATGTTAATTATTTATTTCTAATGCTTATCCCGAGGGAAGAGTACATCCCTATTGTACTGCCACCATATTAAGGAAAAGGGAATTTACGGTGAGTAAAATTACAGTTTTCTATTTGTTTGGACTTCACCATAAAATAACTATGTGAAGAGTAACAGAGGGGCTTGTTTGCTTAAACAGTGAGTGAAGTGGCAAATGACTTGCGAAGTTAAAACAAATTTACGGTTTGTGGGAATAGACTTTCAACTCTTCTGTATTCTTTATCATGTTTGTTGTCAAATCAGGCTGTATGTTACAAGTCAGCATCAGTGTTTAAATAGTCATGCAGCTTTTAATTTCTGGAGATTTTTTTTTATCATTTCAACAAAACTATTGCATTCAGAAAAAAATAATAGCTTTGTCTGTGTGTGTGATTTCAGAAATGTGTGTGCCAGATTGTCCACTGAACGGACAGTTTAAAGAGTTACTTTTACTCTTTGTAAAAAATCTTAATAAGTTTAAAAACTGGACATAATTAGCAAGGTCTAAACTTGCCTGAAATCCAGCTGGGCGAACCTCCCCATGCTGGTTTCCACACCCTTTCTGAAGTCTCCACTGCCCACTCGTGGTCCAATCAGATGACGTGGTCCAGAGCGAAGGAATTTAAAGACGGGGGACGGATTAATTACTATAAATGCGGGAAAGGAAGACCAAGACTTCCTCTTGCAGACATTCACGTGCTGATGTAATTTGTAATTTTTGTACTTCCTTAGTCATGTGTGCTGGGGGTGCAACTTACCCTGGCACAAACAATGCAAATTGCTCTGTATGTACAGCATTTCAAGCAGAAACATTGCACATACTTATTCCTACCACCGTGACGAATTCTAAAAGCAGAAGAGGTTGTGGTGGTTGGAGGAACCATTTAAAAATGGTTAACTAATAAAGTGTAAACGATCAGACAACGAATAGTCATCACAAACACGGCTCATGCAAGAAAAGTAATGCTCCACTGAGGTGCTCATAATCTGGGGGTGGGGGGAGGGGTGGGGAAGGAAAATAATAACGAGACGAATAGAACAGGTTATGATACAAAGTTTTAGAGGTTCCTGTTAACTTAAGGAAAACACCAAATATGGTGTTTACAGGTTTTGAAGTTTATTGTGTTTATGAAAATGGAAAAACACTGATGGACTGCAGCTTCAGACAGCAACGCAGAAAGTAAAGGCAGGGTTCCGAACAACAAATGTATACCTAACAAAACTATTATCTTTTTTCGGTATCACTGCAATACCAATGTATCTCTTGATGCTAGGCTTATGCACAAGCCCCAATACTGTTTACAAGCTGTAATGTTTGTCAATGCAAAAATAAAGAAATCTTAAAAAAAAAAAAAAAATGGTTAATACTCAATGCAAGAGCAGGAACTGTTAGCTCTCCTGAGCTATAGTTATAATGAAAGTTCTTGCTAATAAACTTCTGTCTCTATGTGTGGAGGTGGGGAGCAGCACCTGGCGGACCCTTGATAAGAAGTAAAACTGTTCAAAAATGATTTGGCTCCTTAGATTGCAACCAGTAGTTTGAGTGTTTCTATGAAGGGAAATTCAAGCCAGTTTTATGTATGAGTCTTTGATTAGCTGAAGGCATCAGCTGACTGCTCTCAGCCAATCAGCAGAGGCCCTGCCCATTTCTGCAAGAGCCTTCTGGCTTCCCAATTTTGAGAAAGCAGAAAGACAAAGAAGCAGAGAGATTCTCTGGAACACAGACTTTGAAGTTAAACCCTTCGCGCCAGCACCAGGGACCTCCTGGCACCATAGCTTAATTTTGATGAAATTGTTATGGTGCCTAAACTGTTCTTTAAAACTCAGTGTATATACAGGAATCGCTTCTGGGTACCTATAATGTCCCTTTTTTCCACTTTAATATTTTTTTTAAAACCACTAGATAAAGTCATAGTTGCTTTGGTGGTAAGTGTCCTTTCAAAAGGAACACTCAAAGCACCATAACCACAGCATTTTGCATGAGGATGTTCAGATTCTTCAAAATCCACATAGAGCATTGATTCAATGGTTTCCTATAGGGGAAGACCTAATGCGCGTGCGGCCCCCGCCACTCTTGAACACTAGCTTCTCCCCCATTGGCGAAGGAGGAGGAGACAGGAAAGAGGGAAGGATTCTCCTTATCTCCCTAATATGTATTACCTTATGGCTCAGGTAAAACACTTTTGTATTCCTAACACTATAGTGCCCTTTAAATTACCTATTATAATAAAAATGTTATCGAATACTGAATATAGCTTCTCAAAAATATTCTTATCAATGGGAGGTCACATACCACATGAAGATGCTGAAAGCTACCCATAGCAATGCATGTTTATAAGTAAATGTGCTGTAGTCCTCCAGTGATTCTCCATGAAGAAGCATTGTATCAACAAAGGGCAGAGAAGGCGATCGGTGAGACTAACACAGTGAGGTACTACAGGTAAGCTATACTGCTTAATATATGATTTTTTTTAGGGGTGGCCATAAATCTAAAGATAAAACCATCTATATCTATGTGCGTGTATGTATGTATATATAATCTCCAAAGAACCCCCTCCCCATTTCTTTATAAAGCCTACACTGCCATAACCATGATGTCTCTAGAAGCTCAATATTAGTCTTTTGTCTACAGTGGATGTGCAGCTCTTCTTCATTTCCCATGTGTTTATTTTCTCGTTTTCTCTATCTCTTCTTCTAAATGACTGCAAACCTTACCATCAGCTGAGAGACTTAGAAACTGCCAGAGGCATATTCAGGGATTCGCCTTCTGTTGCTTGCTATTGATCTGGCAGGGAGACATAAAAAAATTGGGAGCATTGAATGCTCATCTTCAATTAAATTATATTAACAAACTGGAACATTTATTTATTTATTTATTTTGGGGACTTATTGCTTCCACCCACCCCCCTATTATAAAATGCACGCATTTTTTAAATTTATTAGATGCAGTAGGAATAATAGAAAACATTTGGAGCTGTCATTTGGTGTATATATGCAGAATTACCTGATTCCAAAAAATCCCTGTTTTTGGAAACATGACACAAGTGTGATTGGTTATCTGCAGTAAGCAATATGCAGCCTAGAAGGTGACTGACACCTTTTTTGAATATAAACTATATATTCTTTCTCAGCAGGAGTATGTGGTATTTATAATTTTGCACTCTGCAAGCCTTTTATGTGCAAGGACTACTGGTGACTAAATCAAAATATTTTAAAGGATAAACTTTGAAGAAAATTTTCTCTTTTGGCCTGGGCGGACTTGACATTCTTAGTTACTGAAAGATTGAATTAATACATTTTTCATAAGGTTCAATTATTTTTACAGAAAATAAACTAATGTCTTACACCTCTTCTATTGGCCCCCAAAACTGGTTAAGAGTTCCAGTTCTCTGGTTTGACATATTGTGGCGATAAATTGAGTTCCTCTTGCCATTATGCCGAAAATGACCCATGTTTTTTAATGCATTCAGTTAAAAAAAAGTTTGTTTTTAGGTTTTCATCTACACCTGTACAACATCGCAAATGATGTTTCAAACTGTTAAATAAGCACCCCAGCCATACTGCACGTATTAAAATTTACTGGTGCTATTTAAATAATAATAAAAAAATTAACTGCTTTTTTGCGGCTCAGTTCATAGTTTTTTGAACTGGGTTATGTGCAGCATTGTCCCAAGCCACTGATCACGCATGACCGCAGTGGAGTTTTCAGATCTCTCAATGAGTGGAGAGAGGATAGAGAAATCCAAGTTGTGTTTTACTTTTTATTTTTTTTGCACATCACTGCTGTTTTAAGTTACTCTCTTGAGTAGGTCTCTCTACATTGTAACATTTGCAGTAACAACCTAGAATTTGTAAGTGGTCACTGTCTCTTTCAATCAGGAGCATATTTTAGTCAGTTTCTAATCCTTCCCAGTATTGTGTTTTCTTAGTCATGATACTCAGGCTTTTCAGATTTTCTCTGTATTATTTTTAGTGGTGCTGTAACATCATCTATCCTTCAAAATAAAAGAATCCAGTTGCCTCTGAAAGTGTCAGTCTTCTAAATTCTGCAAGCATTTTCTATCCTATGTACGTATTAATGTTATAAACTGGCTGACATTTCTTGAGTGTTGTGTAATGAATGTAGTAACCAAAATGGGTTAGTCTGAAAGCGAAATGCTACAAGCTAAGTGTTTATTTTCCTATTCCAACATGCGACATGATATGATTAGATGCTCTGTGCTCTAATTTTCCTCTTTGCTACTTGCTGTCACCAGCAGTTGGAAATTGCAGAGATGTTATTTTTAACAAGAAGGGATTATTTTAAAATTGTCTAAACAGATTCACATTCCATCGCCAGCTGTTGTCCTCCTAAACAAATTTTGTGTGTCTTAGCGGAGCGTATAGGCCAATAGAAAGAAGAAGGAAAAAAAGGAATATTTCCAAGTAGGATAATTCATACAATAGATTCAACATTCAAAACTTGGAAGAGAATATTAAACATGAACAGAAAGTGTTTGTGCAACTTTGCATTTTGGCAACTGTAGTCTCCCAATTTGAAACATCAATATGAACGTATGTTAAAATTCTCTTAATTGCACCCACTGCTCAGAAATCGATGCATTATATCATGCCCTATTCATGTGGCAGTACAATGATTGATTTGATTTTCTCCCTTTTAATTACCCAACAGCACTAGCACTAAGATATGGCTTCCTTTACACAGGGCATACATTAATCTTTGGTTTGTATCATTAAAAAATGCATGCGAAAATGCAATAAAGAATGAAAATGTAATGTCTAGGTGTATTTTTTTTTTCTTTGTTTTTTAAATTTATGATATCTTAGAGCAGTTTAAATTTTCTCCACTGCTGCATATCTTTAATGGAATGCTCCCACCCCCATAACATTTTCAGCTTGTTGAAGTTTTTATGGGACAGGAGTGTCTGCACCATATTCCAGTACATACTATTTTTTTCCATTTCCCAATACTGTACGTACTATCTCTCTGTGGGCGTCCAGTGATGCTCATTGGTGCTTTCAGCCTATCATCGGCCGCCAGCAAACATTCTTCACCTACAGTGGCCAAAGGAAGGAAGCTGGGAAGCAGCTGTGTTGGGCGCTGTTGTGAAATGGTTTTACCCATGCAGGTTAGATAGCTGTCGCACTCTCCTTCCCCTATTATTATGGGAGCAGGAGTGTACCTTTTTAAAGTGCAAGAAAATTAGGCAAATGCATTTCATGGCTATCCAGATATATTTAAAATTCAAACTTTTATTTCCCAGATTGTGCATTTGTCTTGCCAGTATTATGTCTAATTATTGAAGACATCTAAATTAAACTATCTTTGTAGTAGACTGTTTCCAGACAATTTTTCTGAATAATGCCTTGACGTAGGGAAAGAAAATAGAGATACTTACCAGATAATTAGCAATTTTGGAACAATATGCAATATCATAAGGGTGAGAGTATTATTTAATTGGATCTTCATAATTCGCTGTGACAATGCACGCACTCTCTTTACTGTAGCCATGGTTACGGGTTTCGTGCTACAGTGCATGAAATCTTACCAAACTTCGCTCTTATATATTATCATCTCTTAAAGTGCAACAAATTATTAAAGGGACAAAAAAAAAAAAAAAATCTATTGCTCTATGTAGTTATATTGAATACATGGATAATTCAGAGATGGGTCAGCCGAGCAGATTTAATCCATTAGACTGATATTTAGCTGAATGAGCAATCTTTGTGCTGCAGCTAATCTAATCACATATTGAAGAAACTACTGTAATTTTGTCTACAGTAGAGAAGAATTCAAGTGCATCTCATACGTTAATAAAGCTAAATGTGTTTACTTGGTTAGTAAAATACCAAACAAGAGCCAAGTTGGCAATGCAAAGCATGCAGTCAAGAAAGGCTCAACTTGTATTGTGAGGGTAACACAGAATTCAGTGCCAATAGCATTCTAGGGATTGTGGGATATAGTTGGCATTGTTTCGGGGGTGGAACAGCTGCATGTACAGCCAGTGGCGTACACATGACCCATGGGGCCCCGGTGCAAAAATTGATCCGCGGCCCCCCCCCGCGCGCTTACTCGGCGCGGATCGGGGCTGCAACCCATGGCGGCGGGCACCAGGCTGCGACCCCGCGAATGCGGTATACTGCACACACACCTAAAGGACCACTACAGACACCCAGATCACATCAGCTCAATGAAGTGGTCTGGGTGCCAGGTCCCTCTAGTTTTAACCCTGCAGCTGAAAACATAGCTGTTTCAGAGAAACGGCTATGTTTCACTGAGGGTTAATCCAGCCTCTGGTGGCTGTCTCATTGACAGCCGCTAGAGGAGATTCCGCGATTCTCACTGTGAAAATCACAGTGAGAAGACACTGAACGTCCACAGGAAAGCATTGAGTAATGCTTTCCTATGGGCGGTTTAAATGCCCGTGCGCGCCTCTTGCCGCGCATGTGCATTCGGAGCTGAGAGGTGGCGGGATCCCCAGCGCCAAGGAAGTCCGGCGCTAGAGAAAGGTAAATGCTGAAGACACACACTCTCACGAACAGACGCATACACACTCAGTGACAGACATACATACACACTCACTTACAAAACATACTTTCACTGACAAACACACACTCACTAACAGACATCAGACACACTCAGTAACAGACACACCCAATAACAGACACACTAACACACACACACACACTAACACGAATACACACACACACTAACACGAATACACACACTAACACACACTAACACACACTAACACACACTAACACACACTAATACACTAACACACACTAACACTAATATACACACACTAACACTAATATACACACACTAACACTAATATACACACACTAACACGGATACACACACACACTAACACGGATACACACACTAACACACACTAATACACTAACACACTAACACACACTAATACACTAACACACTAACACTAATACACACACTAATACACTAACACACTAACACTAATACACACACACTAACACTAATACACACACACCAACACTAATACACACACACTAACACTAATACACACACACTAACACACACACTAACACACACTAACACACTAACACACACTAACACACTAACACACACTAACACACTAACACACACTAACACGAATACACACACTAACACGAATACACACACTAACACACACTAACACACACACACACACTAATACACACACACACACACACACACTAATACACACACACACACCTCTAATACACACACATGTTTTATAATCCCCCCCTCCTTACCTTTTGGGGTGCTGGGGGTCCCTGGTGCTGCTGGCGGCGAGGGAGCACTTTCCCCTCAGTGCTTCCTCTTCAGCTCCCTCGTGCGCCGCCTAGGGATGCTGGAGCCGGAAGATGACGTCATCTTCCGGCTTCGGCATCAGTGCGGTGCCCGAGGGAGCTGAAGAGGAAGCACTGAGGGGAAAGTGCTCCCTCGCGCGCCAGCCACCCAAACAGCCCGCCCGCCCGCTGGGGTCAGCAGGGCCAGCCTCGGGGGGCCCTGAGGTGGCCGGCTCCTGGGCCCCCCAGGGGAAGAGGCTGGCCCTGTGGCTACATACCGGGTCGCAGGGGCGGCCGGGCCCCCTGGTGGGCCGGGCCCGGTCGCAGCCGCGACCCCTGCGACCCTGGTATGTACGCCACTGTGTACAGCTGACCTATACAGCCCATTGCCCTGTGCTATCTGTGGAATAGATCTGCAAGAACAATCGACAGATAAGTGTATATTTCAGTCTATGTATTTGCTGGGATTATTTTTACCAGTAAAATGTTAAGATTTTAGGGTCTAATCTGCAATTGACCTAAAATGTGTAGTATGTTTTAGTTCCATCATAACTTAAGGGTTTTTCTTTAAGCACACCCATGCATATTCTATACTGTTTTTTTTATTTTAAAGGACAGAAAGGGATTATTCTAATATCCTATTGGTATACTTTTAAATCCGAAGAATAACTCAAAATAGATTTTCATATTTCTGTTCTGAATGTTAAATGTCCGAAAATGACTAGAGATATGCTTAAACTACCACCAACCCTAACCTTAAAGGAACACTGTAGGCACAGTAACTTTCCAAACTTGCAATAATGCCATAAAAATGCTTTCCAATTTTTTTGAGATCTTGAAAGTGCAGTTTCCAGCAACGGCCCCAGACCCTCTAAATCAAAGAGCCATGAGACATACTTGCCTACTCTCATATCCAATCTCACCCTGATGTCAGCATGCATAGCTGCTGATGTCAGGGAATTTTGGCCTTTCGTGTCATGAATATTAGTACCTGGTGGTGAGTCTCATTCTTCCCATTGACCTACAGCTCAGAGGCCTGCAGTGTCTGCTGGGAGCCAGGCTTCCCCTTACGGATATACTGGCCGCTCTTGCCCTTCGCCCTTGTGCAGATGGAAGCATAAGCCCTGCTCCTCCTTTCTGGAATTGGCTACAGTGTCTACTAGGCCATACTGATTGGCGAGAGCTGCAGATTCGCCCTGGATTCAAAATGCTTCTTAATGAGAAGCATTGGTTTGGGCCAACGTCCTTGGACGTAATGTCAAAAGAAACTGCGTGCTGTGAGGGGGACGACTGATGGCTTTGGAATAACGGTAAGTACATGTTTTATTTTACAAAGGATTTATTAGTAGAAGGGGGTTCATGACTAATACAAAATATGTTGGACACAAAGGTATTGTTTTAAATAGTTTTATTGCACAGTACAATGATCCTTTATCCCTAACCATAAAACTGTATTAACCCTTACTTGACACGAACGCTAACCATAACTCTGAGGGATTCCCTCTGATGACATCAGTACTGACATCCGTAAAGAAATTTCCCAGCTTGTACAGTATAGAATACTATTACTGTATGACTACAGAGGGTGGTCTTCATCTTTTGCTGCAACTCCTGCTTTCTTTCCCTGCTGATCGCACAGTGTTCAGTCCTAGAGAGCTGGTAAAGCCCAGTGCCAATCACTGTCAGCAGAGAGACCCTAGGCTGAGAATCACCATGAGTGACCATCGCTCATCTACAGTGATTAAAAGAGCTATTTGCATTGCTCACTTTTAAAGCTGCATATCGCTAATCTGTAAATCTGTGGCTCCAGTCGAGAAACATGAGCCCCAGGTATCGATTTATTCTTGGGCGTCCCTGATATGAGCATGGTTTAACCAATAACTGCAGGACGTTTCATGCCCTTCAAATTGTTTTAAAGTTCACGATCATTGGGGTTAACCTCATTAAGATTACATTTAAAATAAAAATAAAATAATTTTGTAAACGGATTGCAACCTAAATGGAATATATTTACATTTTATCCCAGGTCCAGGAACAAGATGTTGTTCTTCAATCAATTGACCGTGCTATTGAAGCAATTCATAATGCAGCCATGAAAAATGGGGGGAAGTACAACTTGGAACAGAGAGATGTTCTTCAGTAAGTACCCTTTGAGTTCCATACTGTAAGGAATTAAATATTTCATGCAAGTATCCTGTATTTACCCCGCTGCAACAGTGTATCAGACCACACTAGTGCAGAATATCTGGAGGGCCAAAGGTTCCCTACCACTGGTTTAAACAATGACCTTCTTTTCTCTTTTCTTGTTTGTTTTGCTGGGATAAAAACCTCATGATATTACATGTATGGTTAATTTACAGAGATACACAACTATGTGTTGCCACTGGCTATCTATAAATTAAGCATTGCAAGTTCATGTATTGTTTATTGCTTTCGCTGACCCATTAAGGAAACCAAGGAATCCTCCTTGACACAAATGGGACCAGTACATGAGCATGCAATGCTTGCCAGGTACACAAAGGAGCTTGCTTCCAAAGATGTACTTTCCATGTAAAGCATGTGCAGTATGTCTGCTTATTTATACCATTCAACTCATAGATGGAGGCGATGGCTGCATATCTTTTATAGTGAATGTACACATGCATACTTGCTGCACAAGTTGCAGCTAGTGAACAGAGGGATTCCAAGAATGGTGCAAAAGGAGGTGGGAAAAAAAACCTTTTAACCAATTTAATAAATATTTTTTTAATTAAGAGCATGACCTTTCATGTATACATTGTGCTAGCCAAAGTGTTAGCAAATGTATGGTTGAATTTCTATTCCCTGTTGTATGGTTTTTGGCTGTGACATTAGGATTTGCTGTGGAATGCCAATTATAACATTTTGGAGTTCGCACTGTGTGGAAAAAATCTACAGCAAGTACATTTTTGAATGGCAGTAGTTTAAGTTGGCCATTTTTCTTGTAGCTAAATTAAGCATTTTAAAGTGAGCATTTATTCTTTGATATTGCACTTTTTATTTTTCTCAACACTATTTTATTGCTTTTTAATAAATTTTTTTATTTTTTCTGCTTTTACATCTATCAGGAAACTTATCCATCATCGCAAAGAAACACAGAGTCGAAATCTGCACTCGCCAACCTCTCAGTCGAATTCCATTACTACATCTACCAGTGATCACCACTTGGATTCTGTGCGGCAGCCCAATGGCGTATGTCGTACTGGTTTTGAGCGCAACATGAGCTTGCCAAACCCAGAAATTCCATTAGATGGAGAAAATCTTTATCAGGTGAACAGAGTTGTCTAGTGTTTTATGCTTGTATGATATTGAGATATTTTCATAATCTTTTAATAGACATTAAATACCATGAACACTCTTCCTTCCGCAATAATTTTGTACCCATAGTGGTATCATGCCCCTTTGATGTTTAAAACACATGCATGGATTATGTACAGGCTCTTTGCTCACACTCATGGCATCATGGGGATAAAAATCAGATGTTATGGTTGTGCCAGGACCAGCTAACTTGATGATGTGAATGAAAAATAAGTTAAAAATGTTATGGCACAACCCATTGCAAAAAAATGTGTTTCATGTCTGGTTTGCAGAAAGACCATATGTGACACTGCTCCTCTAACCTATTAAGAACACATGACGTGTGACATGTCATCATTCCCTTTTATTCCAGAAGTTTGGTCCTTAAGGGGTTAAAGGGACCCTGTTGTGCTACATGTGTAATTCGTTTTAAAATAAATATGGTAAGTAGGGCACAGAAGAGAGTGGCGTTTGCCTCTGTGAAATACTTTCCTTCCTTAAAGGACCACTATAGTGCCAGGAAAACAAACTCGTTTTTCTGGCACGATAGGGTCTCCAGGTCCCCCCCTCCTGCCGGGCTCTAGGGGGTGGAAGGGGTTAAATCTTACCTTGTTTTCCCCGCCGGCCTCCCTCGGCGCGGGGAACTCTACTCCTCCTTTTCGCCATCATCGGCTGGATGCACATGCGCGGCAAGAGCCGCACGCGCGCATCAAACCAGTCCATAGGAAAGCATTCTTAATGCTTTCCTATGGACGCTGGCGTCTTCTCACTATGAAAATCACAGTGGGAAGCTCCTCTAGCGGCTGTCAATGAGACAGCCACTAGAGGCTGGATTAACCCATAGGTAAACATAGCAGTTTCTTTTAAACTATGTTTACAGCAGAAAGGGTTAATCCTAATGGATCTGGCACCCAGACCACTTCATTGAGCTGAAGTGGTCTGGATGCCTATAGTGGTCCTTTAACATACATTAATATTTAAATGGATACAAGTTGAAATTTTTGTTGGTGGTCAGAGGGGTGGGGGGTTGTAAGGTTTATTTATTAAACTCGAAATTGTAGTAAATGAAAAACAGAATGTCCAAGCTCAGTTGAAACCTAAACCTCTTGTGTAACATCTCCCTCCCTGCCCCTTCATTTTACTTCTTACACATTACTTTAGGAGATCCATGACAAATATATATTCCAGAAAAGACACGTCTGACTATCCATTTCAAAACATGTTATAACTCAAACAATAGCTTTAAAAGAATTGAAGAAGTGTTTTGATTGTTTTTGTTTTTTTCCCATGGCAAGCTTTTTAACTGTTCATGCTTTCATTTTGAATATTTGAAATATACACTAGCAAAATCAATACAGCATGCAAACCTACTTGCTTTTAATGCAATTCACTGTTATTGCTCAGGTCCCTCCACAAGCCAGACGAGCGGCCCCGGTCACTCCCCCACCACCTGAGAAACGGAAAAATGCGCAAAGAACCCTGTCTACGAAAAGTAAGTACCTACTTAATAGAAAAAAACTTTATCTTAAACTTCATGAACATTTAATTAAATCTTCCTTAATAGCTCCAGATTTGTGGCTTATACTCCCCCTACACAGGGGTTACAAACAGGTAGATTCCCAGCTGTTGTGTAAGTACAGCTTTCATAATGGTTTGACAGTCAGTGGCCATGCTTTTACAATAGTCTGCAGAGTTGTGTATTTACCGTCTGTGCAGGCCCTTCCTTGACGTCATGCAGGGTGTGAATGGCAAGCATATTAGACAGTTTTTCATAGTTCTAAATTTAAAGGTTGAATTGAGCTTGAAAGGAAAATTCGTTAACAGACATATGAGGTGCCAAGGTTAGCCATCTCTGACCTACACAGCGGTAGATGAAGCATCAGTCAGTGGGATTATTTAGGGAAAATTGTTCTTGTTATGGGTGAAGCCAGAATTAATCCAAATGCTTTGGTGTTCAATAATTCCCCTGAAAATGTGTGTGGTTTCTGCAGTGCATCATAAAAGTTAATTTAAGTCCTAAAGGATTTTCTTTTCACTTATTTTCTGTAACTCTAGATTGTGTTGACGATGGTTCAAGATCCATATCTAACACGTCTACTGTAAGCATCTCCTCGATCGATACCTTAGGCAACTCTTCTATGGACTCTTGCCATCCTACAGCAGCCTCAAGCCCAAGTAATACCCCTCCACCTGTGCCAAGCAGAAGTGCTCACACTACAGTTTCCCAAAGTTTGGGCCCAACAGCATTATCCCTTGGAATTATAAACTCACAAAACAAGATGGCCACACCAGGACCACCCAATAAACTAGAAATTGGCAGTCAAAGTAACAAACTCTCACAAGTAAAGAAGATGGCTCCAACTCCGCCTCCTAGTGTGGAAGCTTTCAATACCGTTAACCAGGAGAGTAAAGGCAAACTGTATGTGAAATCTGCAGCACAGGAAACCCCTGCTGGTGCCGTAACTGTTCCAAAAACAATAAGTGCTGAGCTCATCGAACTAGTTCGCAAAAACACCAACCTCAGCTATGAACTGTCTCGGGTGGCTATAGGCGTGGTGGTCGGCCACATTCAGTCCTCTATCCCATCTACAGCTTCTGTCATGGAGCAGATCCTTATCTCTCTAGTGGAAAATAAGGTAAATAAAATGTATTTCATTCCCAACCAAAGAAACTGTATTTAGATAAAATACCCTTTCAAAGTTTCCTTCCCCCCATTAGTATTAATAGTTTTTGAAAGAGGACATTGTGATTCGCACTTGTTTACGCATACTCTAGGACAGAGGTAGGCAACCTTCCGCACTCCAGATGTTGTAGATTACTCCCTTACCGCTGATGCTTTGCCAGCGTTACGACTGTAATAGCATTATGGGAGATGTAGTCCACAACATCTGGAGTCTCTAAGGTTGCCTACCCTTGCTCTAGGATTTAAACATTTATTGTCCAACTATGTACTACTCTTTCTGTAGGTCACAGAAAGCATGAAAGACTTGGTTGATCCAACAAACTTATAACATGTGAGTGTGGGGTATGATCTGGTTTCTTACTTTGTGTATTAACCATCTGAGTAATCTATATACACATAAATATGAATAAAACTTACAGCATAATGAGTGCAAACAAAGCCATATCAAGAACAGGTTAAAGTATTTCAAAACAAATTAAAGGTTATCAGCTTTCAATATTGTATCAGTAAAATTAATGGAATTTCCAGGAGAAATGTAATATAGGCTTAATAAATGGTGGTTTTTTTCAGTCACCAGTTAATGGCAAGTCCCAGTGGGCCATTAGTCCAATGACATGGTGCTCAATGAAGATGCCTTGCAGAGCTGCCATGATTTGCAGGCTAAGACTACAGACAAAAGTGTGATGTATGCACCCTACAAAATTTCCCTAACATTGTTAATCCATGAGTAATTTTTAATCCAGTGACAAAATGGCATTTTCTTCTCAAGTAAATATAACTTTAATGGAACACTAAAGTTTGTGTTCTTAAAGGGACACTATAGTCACCAGAACAACTGCAGTTTAATGTTTTTTTGGTGAGTATAATCATTATATGCAGGCATTCAGAGAAAAGGCAGTGTTTACATTGCCCCTAGGGACACCTCCAAGTGGCCACTTCTCAGATGGCCACAGGAGGTGCTTCCTGGCTCAGTGCTGCACAGTAGGCAGCTCAGCCATTAACGCGCTGCATGAGGACGCTGAATTTTCTTCATAGAGATGCATTGATTCAATGCATCTCTATGAGGAGGTGCTGATTGGCCATAACGGCGTTTGGCCTCGCCCCCTTGCCGACTTTAGCCAATACAATGCTTTCACTCACACTCACAGACACACTCACAGTAATCTCCACGCCACTCATTCCTCATAGTGGCTGTCTGCGTGACAACCTATGGAGGAGGCCATTTTTTTCAGATAATTCAGTGTTTACATTGCTACGGTCTCTTTGCACAACATCACTGCATTAAGATTTTGGTGTTTTGTGTCTTTTTTTTTTTTTTTTTTACCATTTATGGTGCAGTTGAATATGGCAATTTTATGTTCTGTTTTTGTATATTTAAATCATTCTCTATGTGTGATTTGTTAATCTGTAAAAGATCTATTTTTCCAGATAAGTTTTTTTTGTTATTCCTAGGTCCATAACATAGACTTAATACTATTGAATCTTTCATTATTCTAGAGAACTGACTAACATGTAGCTGAAATGTTAAAGCTCACATCCTTTGCCTGTGCCGTGCATCTGCCATTACGTACAAACTATAAACCTAAAAACACTAACATTTTATGTCTGTATTTTTGTCAGTGTGTCTGTACATATGTCTATCAGTTGTATGTGTGTCTGAGTCTGTGTGTGTATGTATGTATGTATGTATGTATGTATGTATATGTATATATATATATATATATATATATATATATATATATATATATATATATCAAATGTGTCTGTCAGTGAATGTGTATGTTTAGGTCACCAGCTCCCCTCTGATCACATGGGAATGGAGTTTTTACTTATGTTTATTTTTTTTTACCAACTGTGTGCCTGTATTGCTGCGGCAGGCACTCCTTCATAGCTGAGATTAGCAACGTTTATGACTTCAGCCAAAACAATGCTTTCCTATAGGAAAGCATTGGTAAGCTATTGGGCATGAGTGGCAAAATTATGCTAAATCAATGCATCTCTGTGGGGAACGTTACACATTGTGCAGCACTGAATAGGACTCGCTTTAGTGGCTGTTTGAGTGACTGTCACTAGAGGTGTTACTAGGCATAATGTAAACACTGCCTTTTCTCTGAATCATGTCCAATCAATTTTTGTGAAAAGGCAGTGTTTATATTGAAAAGCCTACAGGAATAGGCTAGAACAGGACTTCCCAAACTTTTATGGCCCGAGACCCACTTTTCAAAATGGTAATTTTACAAGACCCACTTGCTTTTAATGCATATTTTAAAAAGTGAATGACAATCAGCTTTAGAGGCATACAATTGGCACACCATAGCAATCCGCTTTAGATGTACACCCTGGCAATTGCTTTTAGAGGCAAAAAATTGGCACACCGTGGCATATAGCTTAAGAGGCATACAATTGGCACACTATAGCAATCGGCTTTAGAGGCATACAGTTGGCATACCATGGCAATCAGCTTTAGAGGCTTACAATTGGAACATTATGGCAGCTTTAGATGCATAAAATTGGCACACCATGGCAATCAGCTTTAGATGTATAAAATTGGTACATTATGGCAATCAGTTTTAGGTGTATAAACTTGGCACATCATGGCAACTTTAGGAGGCATAAAATTGGCACACCATGGCAATCAGTTTTAGAGGCATAAAATTGGCACACCATGGCAATCAGTTTTAGAGGCTTACAGTTGGCACACCATGTCATCCAGGTTTAGATGCATACAATTGGAACATCATGGCAGCTTTGAATACATAAACTTGGCACACCATGGCAACCAGCTTTAGATGCATAAACTTGGCATACCATGGCAATCACTTTTAGATGAATCAACTTGGCACATCATGGTAATCAGCTTCAGAGGCATACAATTGGCAAACAGTCAGATGCATTAAATTGGCACTCCATGGCAATCAGTTTTAAAAGCATACAATTGGCACACCATGGCAATCAGCTTTAGATGCATAATTTTGATATATCATGGCGTTTTAGAGGCAGAAACTTTGCACATTATGGCAATCAGTTTTAGAGGCATACAACTGCTTACTCACAGACTCAGTCAGAATCAGACATTCTGTGTCCTGCTCATCCAGGCACCTCACATTGATTATCCCAGTGGTGGAACTAATGTAGAGATGGCCCTGGTGCAAGTATGCTTTCTGGGGCCCCCTCTAGTGCAAGTGTGGCCAAAAGGTAGATCTCCATCTGTCTGAGAACTTCAACAATGCTATGCCAGCTGGGAATTTACCATTTGGCCATCGTTGCAGGGTTATATTTGTGAGCAGTGTTTGAGTGTTTAAATGTTTGTGTATTAAAGGACCACTATAGTAATAAACTCTTTTTCCTGGCACTAAAGTGCCCCGAGGTTGCCCCCACGCTCAGGGTCCCACTCCTGCCGGGCTCACCTTTCTCCAGCGCCGGGCTCCCTTGGCGCTGGGGACTCTCCTTCTCCTTTGGCCATCATCGGCTGAATGCACATGTGCGGCGAGAGCCGTGCGCACATTCAGCCAGACCATTGGAAAGCATTCTCAATGCTTTCCTATGGACGCTGGCTTCTTCTCACTGTGATTTTCACAGTGAGAAGCGCGGAAGCGCCTACCCTTCTTGAATTCCCTGGTGATCCGGTGGGTTAATTCTCCGGTCTGAGCTCTGCTGGGTGCAGGGCAAGCCGCCGTGCTCCCTCCTGCTGTCAGTCTGCTTGCCCGAGTCCCCTGCGGCCATGGATGTGTGGGTCAGCGCGACCCACTGGGAATCGCCCTGGGACCCACACTTTGGGAACTGCTGGGCTAGAACACCAGGGTCACTACATTAAAGAACTGTCTACGTTTTTTGGCTGGCTCCTAGATTCAAAGCAAATTTGTCAAGCCCTGAAGTAAGTTACATCTGATTGAAAATCAAACAAGTTTGTTTTCATGCAGGCTGTATCAGTCACAGCCAGGGGAGGCATGGCTTGGGCTGCATAAACAGAAACAAATGTGTTCCACATGTATTCCATTTGAGAGTTACAGAGGCCACTGTGCTCTTGAGCACCTTGAATGCAGCCAAAATTTGTTTTTGTCTTTTTATGTAGCCTTCCCCTGATCTGTGCCTCTACACAATCCTGTCTCTGACCTCTGTAGTCAGTTCCTTAGATCTCCTGGTTTGGTTTTTGCCCTAAAATGCATCTACAGCTGTAAAACCTTTTATAGACAGATGTGTGTGTCTTTAAAAATCATGTCCAATCAATTGAATTTGCCAGAGATGGACTCCAATCAAAGTGTAGAAACATCTTAATGATGATCCAATAAATGGGATGTATCTAGCAAAGGGTCTGAATACTTATGCTAATTTGATGTTTGTTTATTCTTTTCAATACATTTTCAAATGACAAACGTTTAAAAAATCTGTTGTTTGCTTTGTCATTGTGGGGTATTGAGTGTAGATTGATCTGAAAAATTGAATAATTGTAGCATAAGGTTACAACATACAAAATGTGAAAAAATAAGGGTGTAACTGCCCCCTTTCTGGATGGGTTTGCCCCCTTGAGAGGTGGCATTAATGCGATTCGCTTCATTGTCCCGCCCCCTTCTACACCTGTTCACTGGCATACCACGTGCACAGACAAAGAAGTTGGCAAGTATGGGAAATGCGAAGATCATACTTCCACACTATTGTACCAAGTTTAAATAGTAAATCAGTAATCATTGGCTGAGAGCTATGAACTGACACTGGGTATGAGCTGGTTTGGCAGTGCGGTAGTATGAACGTTCATTTTATCAGACTAGAAGGACCATAGATGCCCAACACAGTAAGGTCATTGTCAAAACATTTCTAAATGGTTTAAAAGATTACTGCTGTATGGCGTCTGGGAACACTTGGAAACAGGGTGACTATAACGTTGTAGTAGCTATAGTATGTAGTGTCACTTTAAAGCTGGTTTAATATGGGGTTGTTCACTGATATCTCCTGGGTGTCAATATTAGCCATCCTTGGCTTAAATACTCTCCCACTCTTGCCTCCATGTTCTTCAGCACAAAATTATTCTGCATTACTACTTAATTACAACCCACCCAGCAACCTAATAAATTATGCAGCATTTTCAAATAGGTTCTCTGGAGAATTAAATTCAATAAAATAAATTAAGATCCCTTCCTGTAAAGCATTCTGATTGCAATCTCAAGGGACGCCGTTACATAGATTTAGTTGGCTCAGTCTTTCAGTAATCCACCTAATTATTCTGCTAATTTTATACTTTTTTTTTATTTTTTTTAAATAATACCCATCTCTTGCTTGAGAGCGTAACAGTTTCTGTTAGTTGATTACACATCTGCATATCTGGATATATCAATATCTCTCTGCTACATGAAAAGAAGCAGTATTTGCGGTTGCCGCTTGCGGATATACTGCAAAAACATTTAAAGCAATTTAGGGGTCAGCGCTCCCCAAATGTTTCCATGCATTAAACATATCAAGGAACAATATAGTCACCTAGACTACTTCATCACAATGAAGTGGTGTGGTTGCATATGTCCTGTCATTTTTAACCCTGCAATGTCATTCATTGCAGGGTTTTTTTTATAGACTGCAAGGTTAAATCCACTCCCTTGTACTGCCAGAGCAAGTAAAACTCAGTCTGATAATCAAATGCTGCTCATAGGATCAGCATTTGATTGGAGGAGCGTGCCATTTTCCCGCCAGTGTGGTTTACAATCCATTTCGTCTCTATCGAAAGGATTGGATGAGATCACAGGTGATGTCAGCATGCTTGGGCTTCCGGTTTTTGCACTCCTCAACAGTGTGATATATTATAGGAGGATGGCTTCCAGACAGTATAGGCAACACAACCCTTACTCAGCTCTAGTAGTTATTTATGTTAAAATGCCCCTTTAAAAAAAGGCAATTAAAGAAATAAAGCTCACTCACTAGGTAATTTCAGGTACGTGTGTTTTATCCAACTTTAAAAAATACATTTAAAAGATTTAATTTTGTGCGTGTTTGTTTATAAATATTTTTTGTTTGTTTTTAAAGAAAAAAGAAAACAAAACTGCAGAATCTCACTGTATCTTTAATTTCAGTAGCCCTCCTGACAAGTAAATCTATAAGCAACGCAAGGGCAATTTGTATGTACACAGCAAGTCTGCTCTCTCTAGGGACTGTGTTTATTTTCTCGTTAAGATGTTTGAAGTCTGCTTGATGTGTTGGTGTGTCACAATCTACAGCTGTTTTGTATTTGCTATCAGATCGTTTATGGAAATGTTGGCTGTTTAATACCATACTTACATTACGGATTCAGACAATATTCCAGTAGCAAAAACCTCCTCATGTGAAAAACAAAAAGCCCACAGCAAAACCGCTTTTTAATATTACAGACAAGTAAATGGACAATAATCAGCCATTTCCTGAAAACATTGGTGATTATAAGATGGCATGTTGCCCTTTCCAGATGATAAACAATATGAAATGTAATGGATTAGTTCTGATATCTGATGGAGGAGAAAACAACAATATAATGTTGACTGTAATCCAGGGTTTGACATCATCCAGAGCCAGGTAGACTTGGTGAATCACTTTTCAAACAGCCATTGTTTAGAGCAGAGTTCTCCAAACACTGGCCCTCCAGATGTTCCTGAAGAACAACTCCCATGATTCTCTGCCTGTCTTGTTTTTTTTAGATAAGGCTATACGTTACTGATGTTTACAGAAAATATAATAGCTTGGTGCCAAACAGCTGCTCTTAAACACCTGCATGGTACACCTTTAAACTATACACCCAAGAATGTGTAATCAGTAGCTATAAGTAAGGGGGAGCGCTTACGTGAAAGTATATACATATCTTTTAGGCAATAAACCAAAATACAACTAGATGGGAAGGAGCATAAGAGAACACAATAGTGCAGATCATATGGTATAGATCATATGTGTAATTAGCATTTATACCATATATTCTGCACTATTGCATTCTCTTATGTTCCTTCCCATCTTGTCTTATTTTGGTTTAATCCCAGAAAGATAAGTATATGTTCACTTAATCACTCCACCTTATTTTTACAGTTTACAAGGTTGAATGTTCTGTGTTGTTCTAAAATTCGAATGTTTTTTTATCTTTCAGCAGCCAGTAAGTCTTCTCTGTATCTGGTGTATATATATGGTTCTTGCTTCCTAGGTAAACACTGCTAGTCTGTGCTGCTTGCAACTCATCATTGGCCCCACGAGATACAGGATAGTCACTGCAGCCAATTAATCATTGCTGGCTCCACACAGTGAATAGATTCTCTAAAGGTGCCCTCATGGGAGAAACGGCCCCTCAGGGGTTAAATACAGAGTAACATATCTTTAGATCATCAGTTATCATATGAAGTGAAATGCCTCAAAATAAGTGTGACTCAAAATGGTGTCAGGTTTGTATCTCACATGAGTTTTTAAATGGATCAAATACTCAATGTTGATTTTTAAAGTGGTTGAACTAACCCACATCAGTTTTTTTTATTTTTTATTTTTATATTCTTTATTTTTGTTGTCTTTAACAAAATAGCATACAGGCTGACTATGCCGAGATAGCAGAGTCTAGCATTACACTTTTTTGTTTAGATGAGAGGAGAATAAGCAGAACAGATTTATAAAAATGATGATGTACAATAAGCACAAATCTAACAGACTGTGCAGTGAGAGAGGTTAATTTGCTATTAGCCAGAATTGTTGATTGTATGCCAAGAGTAACTACCACTGGGTGTGCAGGCCAGCTCAATGCTCATGTATGGTACACCAACCAAATTAGTGAAGACAGATCCTATCTGTAGCTAGGCAAGATATTTAAATCTGTATAAACTTAGCCTATCTCATTGCGTACAATAAATTAAAATTAAAACAAAGAAAAACATATAGCTGTGCAGGATCTGTTGAACTGCAACCGGATTGTTTAGTCAGCTTCCCAGAGTGGCAAAAGTCCATCTAGACCTGTGGTGGTACCCCTCCATCCCAAAGCAACGATGGTCTCCTCTTTTGATGCCGCGTAGAGCTGGCTGTGTCCAGCCCGAGGAACAGATCTCCAGGCTCATATCCTTGCACGCCACCGACTTTGCTGAGCAGGGACCTGAGGCTGTATGCAGCTTGTGGGTGATCTTCCATGTGTTAGCTGAGGTGCAGGTATGTGACAGCTGCTGGCGGGGTGGCGTCCCTAAAGCTGGGGCTCCCTCTTCGCCTCTTTCCTCCTTTTCATCACGGTTGGAAGTTTGGAATTGCGGTGCAGGCTTTATTTGGGGTGTTGTAGTGGGCCTTTGTGAGGCGTCTGCGGTAGCTGGTCTTTGTGCCTTGTCAGCAAGCATAGCCCAGAGTCGCACCCAGAAGTGGTCGAAGCCATTTGCTCTGTTGTCCTCGTGGGGATCCCAGAGGTGGTGTCTCTGTGTGGCGGCCATCTTCCCTGTGAGCTTACGGCTTGGCACTATTAAGCACCTCACACCAGGTTGTTTGCCGGTGGATTCCCAGTGGGGACTGGGATAACCCCCACCGGCCCAAAAAAGTGGGGGGTGACTGGGTTCTAAGCTGATCGTGGTGCGATACAGGCCCAGAGTCAGGAGAGCGGCTGTCTCTCCCAGTCAACAGGCCATCAATCTCAAGAGGCTGTATGTGTGAGTATTCAACGCTCTTGGGAGCTTCAGGCTGTCAATATGTGTGGCTGCTGGCACTAAGATTATTTAGCCAATTTTGCGGAGTGTCCTGTGGTAGGATGGACGTGGATTATCCTCAAAGTACATTCAAGTTAGCAGGAGCAACTAGAAAGCACGTCCTGCCATCTTGGATGCCTGGCCCCGCCCCCAAGCCACATCTGTTTTCTTCCTCCATTCTTGGTTTTTTGTTTTCGTATCAAGGATTAGCATCATTTTGGCGGACTTCACCATGCAATACAGCATTGTGTAAAAATCCAAATTGCATATTGTATCATCATAGTGTTGTTTCAGTAGTAGACACAGCATACTCTTTGTGATTGAAAATCTTTTTTAAAAAAGCATTGAAATCTTGGTTTCTGCAAATTTTCATAAAATGAAATATGTAAACTAATCCTGCAGAACTGGACAGCCATGAAAATTAATTGTAAGAGAATTTATATGCCAGAAAACAAGGACCACAACATATATCCGTTGAACAAAGATTGAATTCCAAAGCTCTTCTTATGGTGCTCCGTTACTCAGGTGCAGCAAAGAACATTATTATTGAGAGACCTAAAAATATGCTCTTGCTACTTTCTTGGTTCCATTACAGTAGACATGTCTGTAAAGGGACCTATATAGCTTGAAGCATAATGTTTTATTGTTTTCACATGATATCTGGTATCCCTGGATGAATTGAGTCTAGATGGAGTAGAGTAGAGTGGTTTGTACTTAGAGGAACTTGAGTGAGTCCTTGCTTTTGGCAACTTATTCCTTCTAGAATTAAGCCCATGCCTCGTGTAATAAAACTGAATTGAACCACACTTCTTTGTAGGTACTTATTAATGCTCTTATTTAATTACCGTTGACAATTTCTAAAGTGGCTGTAAAGCGACCTTTCAGGAATGGATCAATAATGTAATTTCCCGGATCTCATCACATAAATTAAGTCTATGGTAAGCAGTCACATTAGCTTTTTAGATCTTACTTTAACTTACTGACATGCATTAACCAGCACTAAGAATATTAATACATTAATCGTACTTGGCTTATTAGAATTTACAGGAATTAAAGGAGCAGTCATACACAATTCCTTTGATCCGTGAAAAGAATCCTTTGCATCACTTCAACATTGCTGTAAATGTACCTGCTCTTGGAATCCCTGGCCAGTGAGTGCAAATGCATTCCATTGCTTATTTCTATGATTCTTACATCAGGTCTGAAGCCATATATTGCTTTGTGAATGTCAATCAGCTAAAGCAATTGTATCTCAGAGGTTTAGGCCTAGATGTAATATTTTGATTCATGCATCCATGATTTTATTTCTTTACTTTTCTTTTAACCAGTACATTGTTCCCTCCAGAACTGGCAGCCACTGGAATACTAGCACTTTCATTCACACACTACACGGCCAGCCTAGACCAGGGGTTCCCAAGTCATGGCAAAACTGCCACTATTGGTGTGTAGTGATGTCCCGAACGGTTCGTGAACGGTTCGCCACGGACTCGTCATTGAGTAAACTTTGACCCTGTACCTCACAGTCAGCAGACACATTCCAGCCAATCAGCAGCAGACCCTCCCACCTCCTGGACAGCTCACTAAGAATGCAGCGTAACAATGAATGTATGCTGGATGCTGTCCAGGAGGTGGGAGGGTGTGGGAGGGAGGGTCTGCTGCTGATTGGCTGGAATGCTGACTTTGAGGTACAGGGTCAAAGTTTACTCAATGATGAGTCCGCGGCGAACCGTTCGGGACATCACTATTGGTGTGCTTTAAAATGTCCACTTTGTCAATGTGAGAGAGTGTCATAAATACATGAATTTAGTTCTACATGCAGCAGATCCAATGACATTGGAAACGCAATAAAAAAAGACAAATCCTGATGTAGTTCGTGAAGCTTGCAGTTCTCTGAAACTCACATTACTGGCTGGCTTGCGTATTTGGGTACTTTTAATTAGATTTTAAAAGTTGTGAGTAAGATTATTATATTATATTATTATATTGTGCTGTGTTAATTTTCCTGGGTAGCTTTTCTCCATTCACGTTAAAGTAGAGTTTGTAATAGCGCAGCGCTCATGAGTGAAATTACTGTTTGATATATATGCTGAAGTTGTCATTAGAGCATTAAAATAATTTCATCTCTCAAATGCTGACTATGTGCCACATATTCCCTCATTTTTTACTGTTTCAGTGTTTTCATGGTTTTAAAGAGACATTACCATTTGCTCCAATGCATTCTACAACACACATTTCGTTTGCCATTTCTATTCTCTCTCTTATATTATTTATATATATAAAAGGAAGACTTCAGCTTGTTGAAGTACTGTTTTAGTGTTCAGTCTATCTTGTTTTATAAAAGTGTTGATTTCAAAAGAAACTGGCACTATATATATATATATATATATATATATATACCGTATTTTCCGGCGTATAAGACGACCCCCAACTTTTCCAGTTAAAATATAGAGTTTGGGATATACTCCCCGTATAAGACTACCCCTCTTCCAATGCACACGCGTCCCTACGTTCTTCTCACCTCCCCTTCCCTGTGCAGAGTGGGTGGCCGAGCTCCTCTTCGTCCTGTCAGGCCGGGTACCGCGCTGTACAGGAGATTCAGTTACCTGTTCCCGGCCGGACTGAAAGGAAGTGAGCACTCAGTGTGCACTTCCTTTCAATCCGGCCAGGAACAGGTAACTGAATCTCCTGTACTTCCGCGGTCACCTGAACATTAGTGACCGCGGAAGTACAGGGTATGTCAGCCAAAAAATGGTCATTAACAACCGCTGCTGTACCCTGTACGTCCGCGGCCAAAATGATCGCTTCCAGCCACTCTTAAGGTATTACACGATGCCTCGATATCGAAGCATCATATAATACACCCCTACACTGCCGGGCACTTTACCTTACTGAGTGCCTTGAGGGGTGAAGGCACTCAGTAATAGTAAAATTAAGATACATTTTTATTTTATTTTTAAGTAAAAAAATAAAATAAATTAACCCTTACCCTCCCTCCCTCCCCATGTACTTACCGCCGGCGATCGGTCTTCTTCTGAGGGGGGACTCTTTGGACTGAGCCCAGAGAGTCTTCCTCTCCAATTTAGGACCCCCAGGGCCATGTGACCACTCTAAAAGAGCTGTCACACGGCCCCATAGATGTCTGAACTGACAGGCAGTCCCCTTGCTGGTAAAAAAATAAAATAAAAATAGTTAATAAAATTTAAAAAAAAATAAAAAATTCAAAAATGTATAAATTAAAAAAATAAAAAAATAAAAAATATAAATATATGATAAATACATATATGTATACAGTTGCAAGAAAAAGTATGTGAACCCTTTGGAATGATATGGATTTCTGCACAAATTGGTCATAAAATGTGATCTGATCATCATCTAAGTCACAACAATAGACAATCACAGTCTGCTTAAACTAATAACACACAAAGAATGAAATGTTGCCATGTTTTTATTGAACACACCATGTAAACATTCACAGTGCAGGTGGAAAAAGTATGTGAACCCCTAGACTAATGACATCTCCAAGAGCTAATTGGAGTGAGATGTCAGCCAACTGGAGTCCAATCAATGAGATGAGATTGGAGGTGTTGGTTACAGCTGCCCTGCCCTATATAAAACACACACCATATATATGAAATAAGTGTGTGTGTGTATATGTATATATGTGTGTGTATGTATATGTGTGTATGTATATATATATATATACACACACACACAAAAAATATGTCAAACCCCTGCACTCCAGTAAAAAATATGTTTTACCTGGTGCTCTGGTGGCTCAATTCTAGAGAGTAGGAGGAAACCGGCACTCAAGGAATTTTAACTGATTTTTACTGTGTAAAAATCAATCAACGTTTCAGCTCCACTAGGGAGCTTTCATCAGGACATACCTGATGAAAGCTCCCTAGAGGAGCTGAAACGTTGAGTGCCGTTTTTTTTCTTTCTTTCTTTCTTTTTCTCTCTCTCTCTCTCTCTCTTTCTCTCTTTCTCTCTCTCTCTTTCTCTCTCTCTCTCTTTCTCTCTCTCTTTCTCTCTTTCTCTCTTTCTCTCTTTCTCTCTTTCTCTCTTTCTCTTTTCTCTCTTTCTCTTTTCTCTCTCTTTCTCTTCTCTCTTTCTTTCTTCTCTCTTTCTCTCTCTCTTTCTCTCTCTCTCTCTCTTTCTCTCTTTCTCTCTTTCTCTCTCTCTCTCTCTTTCTCTCTTTCTCTCTTTCTCTCTTTCTCTCTCTTTCTCTCTTTCTCTCTTTCTCTCTTTCTCTCCACACACATATTTTATAAATTGCAACAACAACAACAAAAAAATAACGCTAACTTTGGCTGCGTTTGTGACTAAGTGGCTACTACAAAAGACTGGAAATACCCCATTTGGAATACCCTGGGCTATCTACATTTGAAAATGGGATGCCATGATGGTGTTATTTCACATTCCTGGGCTACCATATGGTCTCAAAAGGCAACACAGACCCAGCAAACCAATCTGGCAAATTTCAATGTGCAAACATGGAAAAGGGGAAAACCCTACATTTGACCCCTGTAAGTTTGCAAAATCCCATAAGACCTGTACATTGGGGACACTGTTGTACTCTGAAGATGTTGCTGAACACGTATTGGGGTGTTCTTTGTCAGTAATAAATAGCAGGAGCTAAGAATCCATGCCTAAAGTACAATGTGTACCCAAAAGGTTGACAAAGACTGGTGATAGAATTAGTGCATGGAAAGTGTTAAAATACCACCATTTGAAATACACTACGGTATATATATGGTTTGATGGGAGTAAATTACATTGGCCGGCTTCAAAAATGTCCCAAATAGGATATGGGTGCACGATGAACTAAAATGCGCACCTGTACATGGGTGGTATCACGGTACTCAGGAGATGTTGCTGAACACATATTGGGGTGTTCTTTTGCAGTAACCTTTAAAGTTCTTCGTACATGTATTCTTAAATTGCTGTGTGTGTCAAATCACCAATTAATATTTTTTAATTTTTTTTATTTTGGCATAGATTGGTGGTAAAATGTTTGCATGAATATAGTCAAAATACCCCAAGTTTAATACCTTAGGTTATCTTCTTATAAAAAAAATATATATACATGTGAAGGGTTATTCAGGGACTCCTGACATATGAGTGTTATAATGTAACTTGCGTTAATTTAGAAAAGTGTTTTGGAAATAGCAAAGTGCTACTTGTACTTATTGCCCTATAACTTTCCAAAAAAGAGAACATGTTCACGTTGGGTTATTTCTAAACTCAGGACAAAATTTAGAAACTCTTTTAGCACGGTTATTTTTGGCTGTTGTAGATGTGTAACAGATTTTGGGGGTCAAAGTTCGAAAAAGTTTGTTTTGTTTTTTTCATCATATCAAATTTTTTTTTATAGTAAATTATGATATGACGAAAATAATGGTATCTTCAGAAAGACCATTTAATGACGAGAAAAACAGTATATAATATGTGGGTTTACAGTAAATGAGTAAGAGGAAAATTACAGCTAAACACAAACACCGCAGAAACATAAAAACAGCCCTGGTCCCAAACGGTAAGAAAATTGAAAAGTGGTCTGGTCACTAAGGGGTTAAACTGCCGGTTACATAACTGCATTAATACAATTAGTTGTGGCTGTGAAGCTGCCAGGCTTTGAAAATCAATGCGTGACTTGCAACCTTTCAGCGGTTATAGAGTCCCTATCAACTGTAGTGTTGAAATCAGGCAAGAAAAAAAGGTTTGCATAGATTGGTTTCATCCAATTACTAATCTCAGAGATCAGTTGCAGTGTGACACAAGCTTTTAGTGATATTATATGGTTGGCATCATTTATTATTTTTAGAGGTATACATTAAAATTCTAATAAGTGGATTGCTCTGAAACATACTTTTTGTATATTGCTCAAATGTCTTCTTTTTTTTTTTTTTTTTTCTCCTTTTGATAATGAATACATCGAATTTTGAATCAATACATTCTGTATGTAGGGCACCACTCAAATTTGCTTCCCTAGACCATAGAACATATTCTATTGTTAAACCCAAGAGAGCTACTGCCAACTGTTGTGCATTATGTTTCATATGGTGCTTAGAAAAGGACTTGGAAAAGAAAACTATTTTACTTCCAATCTAAGAATTCTTCCACTTAAAGGGACACTATTAACCTCATTAAACTGATCTGTGTGCACTGTCTTTGTTCCCTTAACCCTGCCGTGGAAAAGGGGGTGGGGATATGGGGACCCTATAGTGTTAGGAATACAGCTTTTATAATGTATTCTAAATAGGGATTGACCGATATTGATTTTCTAGAACCGATAATCTGTGAACTTTCAGGCAGATAGCCGATAACTTGCCGATATTCTGTACATTTACCATTTTGAAAAAATTCAACTGTTTCTAAAGGTAAATGCACAAAATATACATGCCACGTATAGTGGATGCAGTGTGTTTAGACAGGGGAGCTGTGTGTGTTTGTGTAGTGGATGCACTGTGTATATAATGAATGCAGGTTTTGTTTGTGTAGTGTGTGTTTGTGTAGTGTGTATAGTGAATGCAGTGTGTAGCATGTATATAATGCAGAGTGTGTGTTTGTGTAGTGTGTGTATATAATGCAGAGTGTGTGGTGTAGTGTGTGTATATAATGCAGAGTGTGTGGTGCGTTTCTGAAGGGATGTGATTTGTGTAAAATGGGGGGGCAGTTTGGGGCATTTTCATTTTAATATTTATATATGGTTTATTTATTTTTATATAGCAGTCCCTGGTGGTCCAGTGGCATTGGCTGAGTAGTGGGGGCTGGCAGCAGGCAGTTATTTACCTCCCCAAAAGCTCCTCCAGCTCCCCAGTGTAAATCTCGTGGTCTGCTGGCCGCGCGGAGCGTTGCCATGGTAACCCATGGCAACGCTCTGCGGCCGCGGGTCTCGCAAGATTTCACATGGGAGCTGCTAGGGAGGTAAGTAACCGCCTGCTGCCGGCAACCCCAGGACCGCTGGGTTTGTAATGAGCCCGGCGGTCCTGGGAGGTATTATTGGCAATATCGGTATCTTTATTGGCCGATACTGATATTGCTGAAAATACCGAATATTGGCTGATAATATCGGTAAAACCGATAATCAGTCGATACCTAATTCTAAACACTATAGTGTTCCTTTATGGACAGCAAGCTATAGCAATGCTTGTATTTTTTTTTTTACCCTGTTATCTTGCTACCTGTTATATTTTAAATGGATCCTGCAGCACCTTAACCAGTTCCACTTTTTGAAGTGGTTATGATACCGGAGTGTTGTTTGACAGAAGCTCCACTTACATGCTCTGTCAGTCAAAGAGCAAGAAATTTAACTTCCTGGCTTGCTTGCCAACTTATCAATGAATTCAGCACCAGTCATTACACACAGGTGCTGCGAGAGCCCAGAGGTGTTATCATGGCTTTTTGAGTCAAGGCACTATGGAGCTACTTGTTTCCCCTTGAAGCCATTTTTTGTGTCCGTTTTACTAGTTTGTCAAAAGTGTAGTACCTTGGCACAATAATCACTTAAATAGGCTGAAGTGGGCTCTTTTGTATGCACGGAAGTGGGTTTTGTTATTGTTGTACTAAAATAGAGCCCTGGTTATTTGTTGCTGATGTAATAAATGCACTGAGTATAACAGCTTGGTAATGTTCCCTAAACAGCAATTCAAAGACTAAATTTGCAAAATTTATGCCAAAGTAGAGTTTGGCAAAACTCAGCAACTCATCTGTATTTTGGTTAAAATTTTGTTAAAAATGGTGTAGTAGAATGAGTACTGTCAAAAAACATTAACTGAGTGGCTATAGTTACCACCAGTGCAAATAGTTGAGCGCTAAAACAACAATACTTACACCTATGTCATAAGGGGTAGATGTACAACAGAAGCTAAATTTAAGAGCGAAAAGACAATATGGTGCAATATAGTCTGCAAATGGGCGTGGGTGTAAAATTATAAAGATTTACACTCACGAGTGTAGAGCAAGTTAGGAGAGACTCACATCACATAGGCATGTGTGTCCTTAAAGGGACACTCCATTGCCCAATTACAAAATAAATTTAAAAAAAAATCTCTGTTTAATAGATTTACCTCAATATAAAACTTGCATGCCTTTAGTTATGTATTTTTTTTAATTTTTTTTTTAAATCAGTTTGCAAAACCTGGCAAAAAATAGACTAGAGCAATAGCCCCTAGTGAAGTGTGGCTGATATATAAATATACAGGTTCCCTGCTTACCTTCTCTAAAGCCCTTTGTCCTGGCTCCAAGAATTACAGCTTGAGTGTCACTTGAAGGGGATACAACCCTTCTTGGATAGGAGCAGATATTAAGGATGCAGTTCACTGGACAGTGTTGCTCAAGTAAATAAGTATTTATGAATTCTAAAATAACAATATGCTAGAAATAAAGAATATATAAGCAAAGTCTATGGTGCTCCAACCTGAGACTCGTTTCACGGTTTCCTGTGGCTTTGTCAAACCTAATGATTGACCAAGCCAATCCTCTTTATCTACCCCTTGTGACATAGGGGTAAGTGTTATTGTTTTAGCACTCCTCTATTTGTACTGGTGGTAACTATAACCACTCAGTTCAGTGTTTTTGTACTTATGTTTGTGTGTGTAGTTTTGGGAGAAACTCAGTGTGATAGCAGCTGTTTTATTTCACTTCACTATATCATTCACTTGTGTTAAAAGCGCTCATATTGCACAGATGACTTTTTTTCTAGAAGACATTCAAACACTGGGGGATAACAAAGCCTTGGTGATTGTTGGAGGGTGTTTGAGGGGGAGGGAGGAGGGATAACACCTGTATTGACCTGGGAACTGAACAAGAAAAAATGCAGAGTTCTTTTAGGAAAGAATATTTATTAATTCAGTTAAAAATGACAGCAATTTAGTAAATTTGCTCATACTTAAAAGGCACCATAGTTGCTAAAACAACTTTAGCTTAATGAAGTAGTTTTGGTGTATATATCATTCCCATGCATTCTCACTGCTCAGTTCTTTGCCATTTAGAAGTTAAATCGCTTTGTGTATGCAGCTGTAGTCACACCTCCCTGCAAGTAAGTAGGTGCGTACCCTTCCTAATCACTTCCTGCAAAGTGAGATCTAAAGTTTACACAGTCATTTTAAAAGGACAACATAGGTACCGAGACCACTTCTAGACATGTTTAAACTAGCAGTACTAAGTGCAATTTTGACTCCGTGAAACAACGCTAGACATACTCCTGTACATTAGGTTCCCTCCATAGCTGAAGTCGGCAGAGGAGCACTACTGTGTGACTGAATGGATTTTTTCTTTTAAAACCCTTTCATGACTGGGGGGGGGGGGTGTTAGGAATACATCTTTGTTTTCCTAATTGTTAGGAATACATTTTTGTATTCCTAACACTAAAGCGTTCCTTTAATTTAGAATTTCTTAGCTTCTGCACTATTAGGAGCTTGCTAGACCTAGTAGGAGCCTCCTGTCCATGATTAATGTTCAATTTACAGAGCAGGAGATAAAAATCTCTAACGGAAGTTATCAACGTAGTCTTTTTTTATTTTTTTTTATGAAGGTGTTTCAGTCACAGCCAGGGGAGGTGTGGCTTGGGCTACATGGACAGAAACAAAAGTGGTTTAACTTCTACATGGCAGAGAATTGAGCAGTGAGACTTCAGAGGCATGATCTATACACAATTAAAATGGCTTAATTATGCTTGTTTTGCTTAATGGAGTGTACCTTTAGATTCTTACTTTATATTTAATACAATAAATTAATAAATATGCTATATTTTTAATTATCAGGATTCAAGTTGTGGATTACCTTCAGGACAGATATGTCATGATGAACAGCGCCTGGAGGTCATATTTGCTGACCTGGCTCGTCACAAAGATGACGCCCAGCAGCGTAGCTGGGCTCTTTATGAAGATGAAAACGTCATCCTTTGCTATTTGGAGGAGCTGCTGCTAATTCTGGTGGGTGGTCACAATTTTACTACTCTGCATGCACTTTCAACCTAAAAATCGAATATCTGTCTGTCTACATGTAACTCCGTCTAATGATACTGTATTCTGCTTGATCTAAATCTGTAATGTTCTTTGGGCAGCGTTTGTGGCTACGACAAAAGACTGGAAATACCCCATTTGGAATACCCTGGGTTATCTAATGGTATGCCATGATGGGGTTATTTCACATTCCTGGGCTACCATATGGTCTCAAAAATCAACATAGGCCCAGCAAAGACATCTGGCAAATTTCAATGTGCAAACATGGAAAAGGGGAAAGCCCTACGTTTGACCCCTGTAAGTTTGCAAAAACCCATAAAACCTGTACATTGGGGGCACTGTTGTACTCAGGAGATGTTGGGGTGTTCTTTGTCAGTAATATATAACAGGAGTTGAGAATCCATGCCTAAAGTCCAATGTGAGTGAAAAATAACACACAAAAATGACTACCCAAAAGGTTGACAAAGACTGGTGGTAGAATTAGTGTATGCAAGGTGTTAAAATACCACCATTTGAAATACCCTACGGTGTCTACTTTTCAAAAATATATGGTTTGATGGGGGTAAATTACATTGGCCGGCTTCAAATATGTAAAAAATAGGACATGGGTGCATTATGACCAGCTATGAAAATTCCAAGTTGGAAAACTGGAATGCGCACCCTCCAAATAAGGTATTTTAGCCCCCAGAGAACCCAACACACCTATACATGGGGTGTATCACTATACTCAGGAAATGCTGAACACATATTGGGGTGTTCTTTGGCAGTAACCCTTAAAGTTCTCCGTTCATGTATTCTTAAATTGCTATGTGTGTAAAAAAAAAAAAAATCAACAATAATTTTTTCATTTTTTTTAGTTTGGTATAGATTGGTGGTAAAATGGTTGCATGAAAAGAGTCAAAATAACCCAAGTTTAATACCTTAGGTTGTCTTCTTTTAAAAAAATATACATGTGAAGGGTTATTCAGGGATTCCTGACAGATATCAGTGTTATAATGTTAACATTGGCATTTCTAAACTCAGGACAAAGTTAAGAAACTATTTAGCATGGGTGTTTTTTGCCGGTTGTAGATGTGTAACAGATTTTGGGGGTCAAAGTTAGAAAAGGTGTGTTTTTTTTGTTTTTTTTTCCTTCATATTTTATCATTTCTTTTATAGCAAATTATAAAATATGATGAAGATAATGGTATATTTAGAAAGACTATTTAATGGCGCAAAAAACGGTATATAATGTGTGTGGGTACAGTAAATGAGTAAGAGGAAAATTACAGCTAAACACAAAGTCTGCAGAAATTAAAAAAAAAAGCCCTGGTTCTCAACGGTAAGAAATATGAAAAAAAAAAAAACGGTCTGGTCACTAAGGGGTTAAAAAAATATTATTTATTTTATTATTTATATAGCGCCAGCAAATTCTTTAGCACTGTACAATGGGTAGACTAACAGACACGTAATTGTAACCAGACAAATGGACGCACAGGAACAGAGGGGTTGAGGGCTCTGCTCAATGAGCTTACATGCTAGAGGGAGTGGGGTATAGTGACTCAAAGGGTATATGTAGGGGTAATGAAATAGGTTGCTAGAAAAGTATTCACTGAGAACTATTTTTGACAGTTGCAGGAGAGGAGTCATTAAATCAGGCTTCCCCAAACTCCTTCCCTCCAGATGTTGCTGAACTACAACTCCCATAATTGTATGAATGAAATAGGCTGAGAATCATGGGAGTTGTAGTTCAGCAACATTTGGAGGGCCGCAGTTTGGGGGAGCCTGGTTTAAATTATATGCCCTCCTGAAGAAGTGTATTTTCAAAGATTTTTTTGAAGGAGTGGAGACTGGGTGAAATTCTAACAAAGAAGGGAAGGGAGTTCCATAGAAAAGGTGCAGCCCTGGAGAAGTCTTGGAGGCGAGCATCAGATGTGGGAGTACGGACAGAGGATAAACATAAGTCTTTGGCAGAGCGCAGGCTTATTAGGGAGGATACGTAGGTTGGAGCAGCATTATGTAGGGACTTTTTAAAATTTTAAATTGAGCCCCATATCTAATGGGAAGCCAATGTAGGGACTGACAGAGGAGGGAGGTGTGGGCTGACAAGAAAATGACCCTTGCCGCCGCATTCATTATAGATTGCAGCTGTGCAATCTGGGAACACGCAAGACCACTGAGAAGGGGATTGCAGTAGTCAAGGGGAGAAAGAAAAATGGCATCTGGTGTTAAATAGGGGCGGATGCGAGCTATGTTTTTGAGATGGAAGCGGCAGGATTCGGCGATCGACTGGACATGAGGGGTCAAAGAGAGGTTGTAGTGAAAGAGAACACCTAGGCAGTGAGCCTGCGAGGTAGAGGTGATGGTGGTGCCGTTGACTTGGAGATAGACATGGGAGTAGCAACACTTGAGGGAGGAAAGACCAGAACTTCTGTTTTGGACAACTTGAGTTTAAGGAAGTGAGCAGCCATCCAGTTAGAAATCGCAGGGAGGCAGCCAGAGACACGAGTCAAGATGGGCGGAGAGAGATCAGGAGAGGATATGTAGATTTGCTTGTCATCTGCATATAAATGATAATGGGAGCCAAAGGTGCTGATGAGTTTAGCAAGGAAGGCAGTGCGGATGGAGAACAGTAGGGGACCAAGGACAATACCTTGGGGAATGCCAACAGAGAGAGGTTGGGGAGATATATGAGGGCACTTAAGCGGAAAGAGCTAAATAAACATAGAAACATAGAATGTGACGGCAGATAAGAACCATTCGGACCATCTAGTCTGCCCAATTTTCTAAATACTTTCATTAGTCCCTGGCCTTATCTTATAGCTAGGATAGCCTTATGCCTATCCCACGCATGCTTAAACTCCTTTACTGTGTTAACTTCTACCACTTCAGCTCGAACGCCATTCCATGCATCCACTACCCTCTTAGTAAAGTAATACTTCCTGATATTATTTTTAAACCTTTGCCCCTTTAATTTAGGACTATGTCTTCTTGTTGTGGTAGTTTTTCTGCTTTTAAATATTGTCTCCTCCTTTACTGTGTTGATTCCCTTTAGGTATTTAAATGTTTCTATCATATCCCCCCGTCTCGTCTTTCCTCCAAGCTATACATGTTAAGTTCCTTTAACCTTTCCTTGAACTGTGGTAGAATGCATTGCAAAAGTGCCAAAAAGGCCTTGGTTACAAACATGTTGCATCTGAAAATAGCCTAAGGTACTTAAGGGGTGAAGCAATGTTTTTCACTCTGATTTAGGTTGTGGAGGGCTAATGGCATATTTACATCTGGAACAGATTGCCTGCATATTCGTGTTTACAATATGATTTCCTTTCAGGTCCATTTCACCTTCTGTTGCTGAGACAACTGTTTGCTCCAGAATATTATAGATATTGATTACCCTTTGTATCCTAACCACGGGCTTTCCATGACTTATTCCATGACACATAGCTTCCTGGATTTCTATAGTTAATATACTGAAAATTGGATTACCATCAGCGAAATGTACAGCAAGCATGTCAAACTCAAAGTCTAGCAAGGGCAGTAAAATAAAAAAAAACAATAGATTTTCATGGAAGCGTAGGTTCATTTTAAAAAGTACAGTGTAAAAAAAAAACAGCATCCCCCTCTAAATCCCAGTCCCCCATATAATAAATCCCAGAACTCCCCTCTCCCCCTGCTCCCCCCCACTAGCCAACAAGCAGACTCTACTCACATTGCCACCGCCAGTATGCGACTCCGGACTCCAGCCTCTGAGGTACCCCAAATGGCGCCGTCCGCAACCTGTGCCAATGCGGATCCTGACGCTACTTCTTGAAACCCTGTGAAGGTGGAGCACGTTGACGTCACTTTGGAATGTGATGTGGCGTGCCTCCGTCCACCTTTAGGTCTAACCGCAGCCATGGCAACACTGACACACAGACACACTCACTGACTCACACATTTTTACATTCAGTTGGGATCTTCTATTTGAGCTCAGCCTTCCTGCTCCTCATTGCTCCCTCGCGCGCAGTTTAGTGATGCCAGGCATCACTACAGACGGCATGCGCGATTGAGCAGTGAGGAGCAGGAAGGCTGAGCTCCATCGCTGCATCCACCTTCCTCTCCTCAGGCCGGGTAAATGTTAGCAGAGTAGGCACCTGCAATGTGGGGAAAGCAGGTGCCTGCTCTGCTTGGAACACGTAGCATGTACACGAGGCTCGCCGAGCCGCAAAGATGTCCATTGTGGGCCGTGAGTTTGAAATGCTTGATGTACAGGATTTTCAAAAGAACAAAGGTCCTCTTTTTAAAGGAATACTATAGTGTCAGGAATACAAACATGTATTCCTGATGGTATAGTTTTGAAACTAGAGTTTAGGTGTCTCACCCCCTCTACCCTGTTAAAAAGGTAACTTACTTTATTTCCATCGCTGTGCAGGTCTCCTTTCAGCTTGCACTGCCCCCACTTCGCCTTCTTGGCTTAGATCATTAAGTTTGATCTTATCCAATCCATTGCTTTCCAATAGAGGGCATGAAAAAATGCCAGACTGTGCCAATTAGCATCTCTGTGAGGAACGTTCAGCGTATCCATGGAGAACCTCTAGTGACTGCCCAAGTGACTGCTGCTCTAGGTGTTCCTAGACAGAAATGTAAACACTATTTGATAAAAATATAATACAAGTGCAAACAAATCTGTAATATAGAAGTGGAGCACTGTGTACATAAAATTATTTCTTACCCTCTTGCCAATAAGTGGTAGGAACAGCAATACAGGAAAAGATACAAAGAAAAAATAGTGTAGACAGTTGCAACCCAGAAATATAACTAAAATAATGTGGTATACTCTCTGTGACTGACTGCCCGGCACTCCAACCGAGTACCTTTGTCAATCGATGCTCCTAGTGCTTTCCGAGTGCTCCAAGCACTCCACCAGACACCATAAGCACTGCAGACCCCACTTCCAGCGATGCAGCTGCTCCGGGGTCTTTCCGTCCTTCACCCACCCTGGACCCAAGATCAGGATCCAGCTTCTAGTGGGCAGACCTCTCCTACTCCAGAGAGCATAGCAGTAACAAGCTCTTACAAGAGCTTACACTCAGGGGATTGTGATTATAGCAATACCCAAGAGTGTAGTTATCCCATCCCCCAAACATGAGCCAAGACTTCATGAAGAGGTAAAGTAAGTCTGTTTAATGCAAGCCAGCACTTACAATTTATACAGTTTTTCAGGCCAGAGGCACACCCCCTGGACCTGATGGGAAACGGGGACACAAGGAACGTAAAACAGTCATTAACAGTACGACACTCCCACATACAGTAAACAATCCCTCCCCTTTGCCTGTGATACAATTAACAAAGACAATGGGCTAACTCAATTAGCTCTAAACAGAAAAACATACGTTTTTACAAACACAAAAAGTACCCAAAAAATACAACATATCCCCATCCCCTGATAGCCCCGATCTGGGTGAACAACATATCCAAAAATCACCCAGATCGGTTCAGGAATTTCCTGGAAGTCTTATTTTTACCCCACTGTGCACATGGTCCCATGCCCAAAACAGTTCCATACACTCGACGACAAAACACTGCTGGACAATTTAAGATGGCTGCCGCCACATGTTTGAATCTGTTCCAGTTAAAAGTCCAAGGGGCAGAAACAGTACTTTTGAACATGGGTTATCACAGGGCCCATAGTCCCAGGGTAGGAGGCTGGCACACAAGCCTCTCCAAAAACCAGTGGCAAAGTTGCTTTCGTCACACTCTCATATTGAATAGAGACAATCAAAATATGCTTCTGTGGCGCGGTGGGACCTTTCAAGGGAGCACCCCACCTTTCTTTTTACATTTCATTTGAATGTATGACTTGTAGTACAAAATAGTATTAAAAAAACATTTGTAATTTAGCATTGAGTGACCAAGTTCACAAATAGGGGTTGGATAGGCCTAACCCACTTTTTTCTTCAAAGTCAAAAGTTAAATGAAAGCTTTCAAGTTTGAAGAAAACAAACTTAAATGTAGGCGCTATTCCAATTTGTAAGTAACATAAGACCATAAGAAAAATGTTTATTTTACAGAAATGTCTTATGTCTTTTCGAGAAGGCACTTGCTCTGTTAGTGTAGTTTTACTAATGAGGTAACTTTGCTTTTTGGAGCTGGTTTTATATTTAATCATAGGTGTCATTCTACAAAGCCTCTTTCTAAAGGGGTGTCAAGACATTGACCAGCACAATAAAGAAACAAAATTAAAGTCTATATCACCATTTTTGAAGTAATATGAAAGCGCCTTCACCAAGTCTGAAAACTGTTTGTATGTTTGCGTTCAGACAGATGCAGACCCAGAAGTGTGCAAGAAGATGTGCAAGAGGAACCAGTTTGAGTCCATTTTGTCCCTCGTGGCTTATTATCAAATGGTAAGTGTTGTTTCAAAGCTTTTCTGGCACTGAATACTACAGATGTATTAACGTGTAGTATGCAATCAAGGAGAGCATCTGCAAACTCCCCAAAAACAGCAGAGCCCGCTGGCATCCTGCCATCTTTTCAGTGTTCAACATCATGTGCAAAATCTTTTGTTTTCTTCTATTAACGTGTAAGTGTTTGCTGAGTAATGCGATTTCTTTTGTTATCCCCAAGAAGAGCTCATGCTCATGGTTCTCATGAGAACCATACATTTTCCCATTTGTATTTAATGAGACGTGAGCCCCACTTTGGGAATTTCAGTATTTCAGACATCCATATCAGTCTAGTTTGTACTGCAGTTTACCCGAGTAATATCAATGCCAAATAAATTGTGGATTATAATGAACATACTGCTAGTTTTCATATAGCTGTCACTGAGTTTAAATTTTATAGGAAAGCTCTGTAGGGACAGTAAAAACAGTAAATAGTCTTGTGTAATAGTTCATTAGTATTAGTTTTCCAGTAGTGCAGATTAATAGTCAATACAAAATTTCAATTTAGCTCACTTATTGGTAAGAGTACATAGAATGTGCACAGTGCGACTAGTAACTGAACCTATTCAGGCAGCCTTAGTCGTGTGCATCAGATTACCTAATCTTTCATGTCATATATCTCTTACGTTAGCATAACGTATAAAATGTACCCATTTCTATTGAATAGATTTCTATTGAAATCTGCGCTATTTGTCCAAAAAAAAGACACATCGCTGAAGTGCTTTGTTTTTGAAATGTTCATTTCAATGGAAGCTTGAAGCCTCTCTGTAACCCTCTATCAAAAATTTAATTTTATTTTATTTTGTAAAGAGCAATTGTACATACAATGTAGTTCAGCTTTACAAAATCAAGGAGTGTACAAGTAAGAAGGTAGTACATACGTATGTTAGGTACATTTTACCCAAAACAGAATAAGTAACATGGTGTTGTCAGGATCAAGGTGATTCCTAGTTCTTCCATCAGACATGGCTGCTATAGGAGCATGTATCATCTATAGTCTATCACAATGCAAAGCACCAATATGACAACACGTAGACGTATAGAAAATAAACGGTTATGAGAAAACGGGTGAGTGGAGGCAACTTCCTGAAACATATGGGTTCCAAATGTAATATCCCTTGTGGATGGATCAGCACTCGTAAACATTGGAGAGGTTCTGGTGTCTAGCGTGAGGTGTAGAATTGAGAACAGTAAGGATACGTGCCTCGAGATAGTGGTGTGAGTGTGTGTGTGTGTGTATGTAATGGCACTCACCCTTGCTGATATTGTGGGTAATTAAAATGCCTTGGTGCAATCCCACTGATATGTAGTATATAAAATAAAGATGCACTCTTAGGTCTTTGTAGAAAAAAAGTAGTAGTATTTAATCCATCCAAGAATTTTTTTTTTACAAGTTGCTGATCGACGTTTTGACCCGTTCCGGTCTTCCTCAGGATCAACATGTAAACATACAATCAAAGTGTATATAAGAAAAATAAAGTGTACTCACCAATTGTGATTAACTCCCTAATCCCTTCACTCCGAACCCGGAAGTGAGAGTCTGTTGTCACGTGACATGCGTGTTGCGTGAGTGAGCGTGGTTACTAAGAATCCAATGTAAACATTATACGATCGACCTCCTAATAGTCCGTGCGGTGTGTGAATGTGATATATGTGTGGCTATTTCTTAATTACATATGTAGGACATCATATAAATCTAGACAAAATCACTTAGTGCATGTGTGAGTGAATATGTACATAAAAAAAATCGTTGACATGTAAAAATGTCATAGTATGTGAATAAACAAATGTGCAAATTAGTGCCTGACAGCCAAAGTGATACAAAGTGGTATAGTTATATACAAATATCACAAAGTTAAAATTAAAATACAAATGCCAACCATGGACAAACTCTGGTATATATTGTATACCACATAGATTATCTAGTACATATGTAATTAAGAAATAGCCACACACATTTCACATTCACACACCGCATGGACTATTATGAGGTCGATCGTGAAGGTCGGGAGTGAAGGGATGAGGGAGTTAATCACAATTGGTGAGTACACTTTATTTTTCTTATATATACTTTTATTGTATGTTTACATGTTGATCCTGAGGAAGACCCGAACGGGTCGGAACGTCGATCAGCAACTTGTAAAAAAAAATTCTTGGATGTATTAAATACTTCTACTTTTTTCTACAAAGACCTAAGATTGCATCTTTATTTTATATAATATATATGTAATATATAATCTGGCACTCTACCTCAAAGGATAACTATAGTGTAAGGGAAACAAAGTGGTTTTCCTGACACTATAGTGCCCCCACCCTCAGAATCCCCCTCCCGTGGCGCTAAAGGGGTTAAAACCCCTTTAGCAGCTTACTTTATTCCAGTGCCCGGCTCCCTCGGTGCTGGTGACCTCTCCTACCCCGCCGTCAGTGGAGCCAAATGCTTTTCTATGGACGCTCTGCGCGATGGATGCGGAATTCACATCCAGCGTCGCAGATGCGCCTCTAGTGGCTGTCCGGAAGAGGCTGGATTAACCCCAAATGTATACATAGCAGTATCTCTGAAACTGCTATGTTTGCATCTGAAGGGTTAAAACCTGAGGGACCTGGCACCCAGACCACTTCATTGAGCTGAAGTGGTCTGGGTGACTATATTGTCCCTTTAATATAATATAGCTCCCAATGACCACGGTGCTGCACAGTGTAAGGATTATACAAGAGCTAAAAGAATGAGAGACCTCTATGGATTTAAAAAAAAGTAGATTATATTCAAATATAGTCAAAAAATGAAAAAAGATATATATATATATATATATAAAAAAAAAAACCCTTAGCAGCTTATCTTATTCCAGCGCCCGGCTCCCTCGGCGCTGGTGACCTCTCCTCCCCTGCCGTCAGTGGAGCCAAATGCTTTCATATATATATATCTATCATATATATATATGAGCAGGGATGGCTAGCAGGTATCTGTTGCAATTGAGTATATTGCATCAACGTTGGTGGAAGCGAGGGGGGAATTTAGCTGTCAAAGATGTGGATTTTCATGGATCACTTGTCATGGCGGCCAGTAGTGGGTTATCATGGAGATCTATGATCCGTGGTTCCCATGTGAGTGTGTATTGGGAGTATTAAGTGGCACTTTTCCTCTGCAGCTCTGATCTTTCAACTTTTTGTATCCATTCACTCATGGAATAGGGGTCGGCCCGTTCTCTTAAAACTTTTATGGAATACTCACATTGACTGTGTTGGAATTTCACTGACATTCCAATCAAGTCAAAAGATATAGACAAAGTAAGGACTACTTTGCCTTAGTATACTCTCTACGCTTGACAAAATGCAGAGCTACTACAATCAAGTCTTATAATTTCCCCTGTATGGAAAAGGCATTGTCCATGATGGCTCCCACAACCTGTCAGGATCTTTCATTAACCTCTCACTCATGGATGAAAGTACAACACTGACATAGGCTACTGGCAGAAAAGCACCAGGAGTTGAAGAGGACTTGCAGTACCACTATGGCAGTTGGCCATGAGGGACATGTTTAAGTAACCTGTCTTTCCCAGTGGCATAGCCACTGCCAGGAATATGCAATGACCACAGATGATGAGTCTTTCATATAGTTAGAGATAACTAGATGTCCTCCCTGAAGGTTCACCATATTGTATTGAATAAGTAGACAATGCAAATAATGTAACACCCATTTAGTGTAGAGTGAGCTGAGATCTGTTGGGTGAGCTTTAAATGCTACATGGACATGCATCACATAAGTACTCCTCCAGAATTTGGAGTAGGACTGATTGCCTCTCAGATGGGAATGTGAGCCTATATGTAGTGGTTGTGTATTTTTGCCTTTAAAGGAGAGTTGTTATTATTTTATATGCATTGTGTATATAATAGATTAAAGGAAATCGGATTACTCCCTGCATGTTTTGTGCCAATAAATAAATGTATCTAAATGGTTGTTTATAATGGTGGAAAAAACTAAAAATGAGTTAAACTAGATAAACTTAGTAAAAGGATTGAGTGTCTCCAAGACACCTATAAAATAGAAAATGGCAGCGAAGCACATTAGTTACTGCATTCACCCTTCTCCACTGGGTATTCCGCAATTTAGTTGGGTAATACCAGTTACCAATTAGTATATTCCTAAATAAATGGGATACACCATCTTCATGTTGTGCAGTAAATATGGGTTGGAGAGTCTGTGTGACACACTCACACTTCTGAGGCAGATAGAGCAGGGGAAATATGGGAAACCACTTGCATGTTGAAACACCCCCTTCCCCTCACACACACACACACACAGGGGGTCTGGGGAATGATGCCAGTTTATACAGAATTTGGGATTCCTAGTTTTCTAATTGCTTACATTTCTGTAATTTCTGTAGTCTGAAAGGTAAGTCATAACTAGTTTTGGCTTAATGTGATCTTGCTGTCTGATAGGAACACAGAGTCCCGTTACGGCTTTTGCTGCTAAAGTGTTTTGGAGCCATGTGTAACCTGGATGCTGCCATAATTTCTGCTCTTGTCAACTCAGTCCTTCCCATGGAACTGGCTCGAGACCTCCAAACAAACACACAGGGTATGTTCCATTTCTGATTTTCGATGTTAGCCTTTCGGTCTGGCGTGTTAAGTTGAATACAATTGGTTATATTGTTACTGAAGAACATTATATCTAATGTAAATGGAAATTTCCTTTCAGCAACACAGGGTAGACAAGCGCAATCATCCAAATCTTATTTATAAAAAAAAAAAAAGTGTACTCGCTGGGAATTTCGAAAATAAAGTGTCATGCCACATGACAAGTTCAAGTACATTAATAATGCAGGAGATCTGTAAAGTCACTAGTTCACCCCCCTCCTCCCCCCCCACACGCATTTTTAATAAACACTGCAAGCATCATACCCACAACTGCACACAGTGAGGTCATGTGGTCCAATCAAATTTTTTTTTTTTAGAGAAACATTACCGGCTTCCAGCACGTGCAAGACAAGTGACAGAGCGCCAATCCAAATTTTTTTTTTTATGTATTAAATCTAATGCTTCTCTGTAAGAAACATTAGCACAGTTCATGTCATCATGAAGTGATGAGGCCGAACATGATGTACTTACAAAAATTGAACAATATATGGAACAAATGCTTGTAATTAGTCGGTTTGTTTTACATTGTCCATATAAAATTTAGGGATTTTGGAGCATAGTGTCTCTCTTTTAGTACCCATCTGCTGAGCACTTATTCTCTATAAGTCTATTGACAAATGCATTCTGTTCTTCTAATGGAAGCCCATTGGAGATTCTCTTTAATTTATGCTACTTATCCCAGAAATTAGAAGGACATAATATATGAACAGACCGCTCTACATTGGAAATTTTACATCTACGTTGCTTATGTACGCTAGACAATTACAATAAAACGCAGGGGTAGGCAGCCTTTGGCACTTTAGGTGTTGTGGACTACATCTCCCCCGAAGCTTTGCCAGCAGTATGGCTGTTAGAGCATTACCCCTGCCCTAGGAAATTAGTGCTTTTTAAGTAAACCTTTTAAAATACTGCACCATGAATCTGCATGTGTTTTGGGCAGTTGAGTGTTAACTTTTGCTCGGAATAGTGGACTATTATTTTTATTTCTGCTGGGCACCCCAACACTATTCTGCAGAGCCTGAGCATGGCTCTGTTCCACGTGAGTGCATCTAGTTTGTGTGTACTCCAATTATCCGTTCTCTGTATATATTTTCTCTTGTAGATTTTGCCTATGTATGTAAGCAAGATTATTGATATTAGAACTGTTTTTATCCTTTTATATTTTGTTTACGCAACACATTTTTTCCCATTCGGTTCGAAGCTCTGCTGATTGATGTACAAGGAAAAGAAGTTTTATAAATTTTAACGTTAAGTTATCATGTTCTTTCCTATTGTTGTCTAAAGTTTGGAAAATGCCTTTATAAAGTTGAGTGTGCGTGTTAAATCGGTTTGTCTATAAGCTGCTCATATTGTGACAGAAACCTTGTGTTGCTCCTGAGAAGGAGTTTTGTTCTAATGCGAGGAATGTTGATTACATTGTTCCTCCGCTACACTTCATAATTTCTCCATTCCCAGCAAAGTAGCTCATAAATCATAGCAAACAGATTTAAAGCAAACAATATATTTTTGTTTTAAAACGTAAAATGAAATGGCATTAGCCTTCTATTTAAAATGACAAAGTGAACTGCAAGTGCCGTGAATATTGCGCTGAAATAACAAACAGGTCCCAGTTATCTTTCTTCATGATTGCGCAATCAGAAATGTATTCACCGTTCGCATGGACAGTTCCTATCCATAATTTATTTTCGCTCTTTCTTAATGCAGTTTTCCTTTACTAGAGAGGTCTCTTTATTTTACTGTCCTATCGCAGTCTGTCGTAATTGAATGCTGTTGCTGATATTCTTAGCTGTGGGCAATGAAACCACAAAGTTTCTTTAAATTGTAATAAACACCTAATACAGATTTGTTTGTTTTCTCCTTGGAACATCTGGAAGAATTCTTTTATTTTATTTTTTTGTAAATCATTCTTTCATTGAGGCATAGGTAAAGTGGATACAGAAAAGAAAAAGTGGGGATATATATTAAATGGTCACACATCCAAATTGCAATGATACACACATTGATATATCCTCTGCGACATGGCATCCTCATTTTAAAGTTATAGTATACATGTTAAAATGACACATCAAAGCACCCAGTAAAACAGTGGTAGTAGAGTAAAGATAGTAAGCTAGATGTGTATTGAAAGGTACTTGGTGGATAGTAAATTAGTAGCTAGCTATGGCTAGAGAATCATCAGTTCCACCAAGAGTAGATAATTAAATGGTCAACTGTATGAGCCTAATTCACAGCCAATACTAAAACACATAAATTGATCATAACAAAGTGCCTGGCAAGACAATCTATGCTTAACAGTAGCGGAGTAAGAGACGTGATGAGGTGCCTGAAAGTGAGTACAATTTAGAATAAAATAACATAAAGTGCCAGTGGGAGTACTGTAGGGTAAACGTTAGCTGGCGTAATATATACGTTGCGGTTCATGTTTGGGATAATAAGTTGAAGGACCACTGGGTCTGCACCACTATTGATTATAACAGTTTGCTAGACTTGGTCACCAGGTCTCCAGGTTAGTTACGAGGGTGGATGCCTATGTATAGTGTGAGTTTGTCACCCTGTCATGGCTGTTAAGTGATATCACAAATTATTTGCCTTGCGTAAGAGCCTTGGCTAGGTAATGACATATAATCCATCATTTAGCACTTGCATCCTTTTAAAATGCGCAATCATGGAACTTCAAAGGCTTAAGATAATCTCCTATTTCTTAGCATAAGATAAAGACGGTAACACATTATAATTCCTTACTCTAGTAAGGAAAGGAATTAGGCGCTCACTGTAGTAATAAACTGAGAATGATATCGGGCAGCTGTAATCAGTACAAGGATTCCCGACCTTGTGAGTGTTAGAGTATAGAAAGAATGGAGGAGACCGCGCCCCAGAATGTATAATTAAAAATCGTATACGTACACAAGTCTTTTGTGGTGTTATATATATACAATTGACCTCAAAAACAAAAGGACATGAAGGAACAATAGCGCAAAATGTTATATTCAGTGAGTAAGTGTTCAAGTACTCTTATATGGTATCACTCACATTTGCCAGAGCTAACTCAGAGATCTGCATGTTCCTTTTATGTAAGGTTTATCACCTGTCCTGTTTTATATTATATAATATGCTTGATGCCACCATATGCACTTAAGTCATTTGTCCATTTCAAATCTTCTGTATGTTTTATGTCACTATATGCACATAAATACTGTTAATACTATTTGTGCATTTTAAATTCAAATTTAAGAGTTTCACTATGAATTCGGGATCTAATTCTCATCTTTTACATTTTTTTCTTTTATATTTATATTTATTGCTATATATATATATATAATATCTGTGTCTGCTTATTGATCTCATTATATCAATATATAAAATATAATCCATCCTACATTGGAATTTAAATAACACGGGTTGTTAAGATTATGTATTGTTGCAATAACTTAGCCCCATCCTTTCATTTTCCCACACTTTGCCCTCTTATGATATGGCTGAAAATTACTGCTGATATAGAAGAAACGAAGTCACTTCCGCCGGATGTCCGGACTGATCTGTATAAAGTGCAACAAGGTGGACTTTATACACACTAAAGGAACGCGCAAACAGTTGATTTGAATCCTCTCTCCACTTTCCAATATCGGTATTTACCGATCGGAATGCAGCAGCGCCATTTTGGCTTTGTTTGCATTCCACAGTTCTATTAAACGCTGCGTCACTTCCGGTGTGACGTGTGCATTCCAATAGTGGTTACAGGAAACAGGAAATGATACCTGTAGTACACCAGGAGATAATTACCATTAATAGACTAACTATATAAACAAATGCAACCAGGACTTAACCCACACTTCTGAAGAAGCCTCCACAGGTGAAATGTGTAAAGTGGGACTCTTTTAAAGACACTACATAAATTTTTATTGTTTTTGTTAATAAATGGTAAATTTTTACACCTTTTAAAAAAATGTACTCTCTATCTTCGATTTTTTTTATTTTTTTTATTTCCTGGTTACCATCATATTCCCAGGTGAGGATTATACCACCCATGCTGCACACACCAGAGCAAGTTCTGCTCTAGTAAATGTGAGTACATTACTTTACTTTATTTTCTTTTTAACATCTAGAAGTACTTACTTCACTATTGGATTATTTCTCTGTCTCTTTATATATGACCTACATACTGCACTTTGCCTGAGTCTACCAAAGACGCCAATTTCTGCATATATCCTTAGACGGGGATGTAACGGCTACCCAGCTGTACAGGGGTATCTGCCGTTGGAGATGTCCTTTTCTGTGCAAGCTGCTGTGCAGTAATGGAGTTCTTATTCCCATCCACGATATCCCAGGGTATAATCCAGCAGTGCTGTAAAATGAGGCAGAGTAACGGTACCATAAATCCCCTCCAAGAACGAGACGAGGCTACGTTTTGAAGGGTCAAGTAGAACTAACTTTTAATGACAGGCGATCTCTTTTTATGCAATGGTGCCCTCTGAGAGGCTACACCCACATAATTAGTAACACAGCCAATTAGACACATGGTTCAACCCCCACGTCTCCTCCCCTCAGATAACATGTAACACAATTAAAACAGACATAAATTTACCCACATTCTGGATGTACCCCAAAAACAGGGGGTACACCTTTAAGTCCAGCTACCACTCAGGGGAATAACATATCCAAATTTCAAGTCATTCGGTTGCGGGGTTCGGGAGTTATGGGTCTTTGAAGATTTGATCAACCGCACAGGGTTTTCAGCCGAAAAGAGTTCCACAAGTTTTGGCCTTGCAGTCGGTCCCCGTTCGTGAATAAAAACCCCACGAACCCCTTGCCATCCACAGTAATCCTGCCGTTCGCCTGAATCCCCATGCATGCTTAAACAAAACTACCGAACGGCCGGTCGTTCGGTAGTTTCAGCACGAACTTACGAGCTCCTGGAGGTCTCAGCGGTGTTCGCCTGTTTGCGTATCCGTTTTTAGTTCCATGCGTTCACAGGCAAACACCGCCGTTCGTGCGTAAGATGGCCGCGAACACGTGTAAAGTCCCGAAATGGCGGCCACCTACTCTGAGTACAAAGGGATTCGTCTGAACCATGCGAACGGCTCCACAATCACTGGGAGGTAAAATAGTAATTAACTGTTCCCCTGGGTGGTCTGATGTTCGGTATTTTGGGTGGTTTGTTAGGGTAGCAATAGTTACACGAACACCAGTCATTCGGTTCTGTTTAAACCCCCCTAGCAGCACTGTAGATAAAGTTCAGGCAAAACAATACAGGGTTCTGTTACAGGGGATTTTTCCATCCACGTACACGAACAGCTGAGCTTTGAGTTAGCTCAGGCAAATGTGAGTGATACCATATAAGAGTACTCGAACACTTACTCACTGAATAGAACATATTGCACTATTGTTCCTTCATGTCCTTTTGTTTTTTAGGTCAATTGTGTATATATATAACACCACAAAAGACTTGTGTACGTATACGATTTTTAATTATACATTCCGGGGCGCGGTCTCCTCCTCCATTCTTTCTATACTCTAGTAACATGGTGATCGAGATGAGCAAATAAAGAAAACCTGGAGAGGTATGCGAGTGTAGGGGCCGTCCAGTAAGCGAGTCCCGGTATTGGCTATCTGGGGGCTTAATGGGTGTTGAGCGGCATTATGAGACAGAGTCCGAACAGAGCCCTACCTTAGCCCTGGGCCATCCTGAAGTCCTGCATCCATTGTCCACGAACTTGGGAGCTCATGCTAGAGACAGAGTTCTACCCTGTAGTCGATGTCCTGGGATCGTATCCCTGTTGGTCTTCGGCCCGGGTAGGCCACATGTGTGTGATTGTAACGCTGTTGAGGAAGGAGCGCCCCGAGAGGGCCTGCTTATCTCCCTTCTCTTCCTCCCCTCACTCCTGTCTGCCAGTGCTGTTGTCATCTCAAGGTGGGCTGAAAGCGTAGCCCAGAAGGTGTCAAAGATCTGACACAGTGTTGTTTCAGCTCACATGTGCACTGTCTAGGGCATGCTACAGTGCATGAAGGCTGTAGAGGGTTGTGGTGTTCTCCAGTGGGCCGTCGCACCCCAGCTCAAACTTGAGTATGCCTCAGTCCGGGTAATCCAGCTCTGAATGGGCTTGTGTTGTGTATCACCAGGCTCACCAGCGTCTGCTTAGCGTCTCTTAGGGTCATAATGAGCATGTGGCCCGAGGTTAGCTCTGGAATTTAGGTAACACAGAGTCTGGAGCTCAGATAAGACACATCTGATCCGTTCAGCAGTCAGGCTCCGCCTCCTGCAAAGAATTCTTAATGCTGATTTGGGCATTGGGAAATCGCAGTGCATTCCTTGTCAAATCTTTTCATTTCTTAGTTAAAAAGAAAAAATATGTATATTGAAGGGACCCTCAATGTACCATTAGAACTTATGCTCCATTCACAAAGTATAGTGCATGAGGTATCCTCTGTCCCGTTGTGCTTTTGTTTCACTGCAGCTGTAAGCCCAACCATTTACTCAGATATTTATCACAGTGGAAGTCATGTTTCTCCTTTTCATAAAAGTGCAGGTATGGAATATGCTCACTGGGTGAATAGACACAAGTCAAACACCTTACGTTTCTATGTGGTTACCTTACAGCTTTCTGTGGAGGAGCTTGAACTGAACTCTTATCTATAGCTCCATTTCTAAAAACAATCTAGACGCTGATAACTGGCTAGTATCTATCTGGGTTTTTTGCCTCCCTTTGTAGTCTAGCACTCTGTTCTCACAGAAAAACATTACCTTTAATTGTACTTTAATTGTAAGCTTTCTGCTGTTGGAGCCCTCAGTATTTAGAGAACCATCACTTTTTTTTGACTGTTCAATGAAAGGTTTTACTCAAATAAGCATTTAAGAATAGAAACCGCAAGAATTTTGCATAGTGGACAATACAGCAGAACCCCTGATGGCTTCTATTTTAGTTTCTGCTTTCATAGATTTTTATTCACTATTCTTTAATAGGAGCGTGGAGATAAAGTGCAGTCTTTATGTATGTATGTATTGTTCTGTCAATGTTCGTCACCGAATGATAAAAGCCCCAAGCGTTCCCCTGATGTGCCATACATTTCACGGACGCGTGTCCACAGTCTAAATCTATAGAACCTGATTACGTGTAAATCACCACACGACATGAAGGCACATGATTTTTGCGTAAATAATTGATCGAGAAGCTGCAGTTTCCTTGTGAGATATAAAGGTTTGTACTAATAATCTGGGAGAAATTAAAGGTAAATGTATAAATCATAGAAAGCCGTTCAGAGCGTAACGCTGATAACTATTGTACCTAGAATGAAAAAATCCTTGAAGCTGTAGGTGTGTTTTGTCAAGGAGCTTGTAATGTGTTATTTGGTGAATTTATCACCCAATTTTTTTTAATTATTGCTGATTGTATTTGGTTATAAATATTGATGACATTGGGGGCACATTCCTCTATTTGCTACTTTGTTCTGATTAATGTGATGCTTATATGATTCCGAAAGTATGTGGTAATCAGCTTGGCCAAGGTCATAGGTTGGTGGCAAATCAACTAGTCATATGCTTTTAGGGCCTGGTGCCCTTAACCTTTTCATCTGGAAAATCATAATTATCATTCAAATATTATCTTTAGCTATGAAATTATATAACTGCCAAGTGCTACTTGGTAAATATTGTAAAAAATAATTTTTATTTTTGGGCAAGAGCCTGATTGGTGAGCAGCACATATAATGCATTGCACACATCGCCAGCATGCAGACAGTTAACAAATAGACAGGAGGGAGCAATTCTTTTAGGATGGCTGCATAAAGGGTCAGAGGTGACTCACAGTAAGAGGTCACTGGAGCTTGACTCTACAGTCTGATTGCTGAGCACATACTATTCATGTTACAGCTCCAGAAAAGGGACATGAAGAATATTAAAACTAAATACAATATGTTTGTAAAAAGACATTCTATTTCCTGCCCAATTCCAAAAATCCTCTCTGTCCATACTCCTTTCGTCTGTTGGAATAATGGCACACGCTAACCAAAGTCTGTCTTTTTATGCGTGCCTTTAACAAAAGGCAGGAAGGAATCATAAACGCTACATAAGTAGCGCTTCTAATTTTGAATGGGGGGGTAAGGGGATGTTTGTATTTGTTCTTGTTTTGTTTTTTCTCCTTTGGAGTGTATTGATATAAGGTGACCTTGACTCTCAGACAAGCTAATCTAATTGTAGTCTTTGGAATCAGTGGCTGGCGGCTGCATCTCTTACTTCGTCATAATCCCTTTTACTCTTCTTGAAACAGTCTGTGGCCTTGTTCAATAAAGGAATAGGAAATCTTAAGTCCTTCCACTCCCGGGATCACAATCGAATAGTTAATAAGGCTAAGCCAACTGGTTAAATGTTGTAAGGTCTTTTTGAAGTAGGGAAGTTCTACCTTGGGAACAGGTTGTCATGCAGTTTTGGCAAATGCACATTACCCCTTTTCCTGCGATAATATGAAAAAGTTATGTGACTGAAATCTGTGTTAATTGCTTGAAATGCTTACTCCATTGGAGTGTAAACATCTTGCCACTAATCCCTAAAATGAATTCCCTGAATTCCCTCTGAATTTGTGTTTTATTGCCAGATTTGTGACTTGCAGGAGGGGCAGATTCCCACATGAATGTTTTTGTTTTTCTGTGCAGTGGAGACGAGAGGAGACTGTCAAAGTCTTTGAACAGTTTATCATTTAGAAAGTTTGTATCATCCATCCTGTTGGTATTTAGAAAGTGGTGTCTGTGTGAGGAATAGATAGGGTAATCCGTTGCTGACATCCCATATTGTTTAAACAGTCCTCTCCTAAAGGACATTCTGCGCCCCCTACTGACTTTAATTTTAGTTTTACACTTCTTTACTTGATATGTGGCCCTGATTTCCCATATTTAGCTTCTTGCCATCTTGTCCAGCAGTTTAAACTGGAATTTTGATATGTAGACCTAGTTAAATGTTTTAGCAGAAGCACATAAACAAGTAACATGAAGTACATTGTGTATGCTCGTAATCTCAAACCGTACATTATGGGTGCACTATGATGCAGTGAACAGATTATTAGGAGGGCTCTTCTCCTTGGCAAAATGAAAACTGCGTAATCAGTTTGGCTGAATTTCACTGTTTAGTAATAGCCAAATACCACAGTATTATAGTGAAATTAATTATGTGGCAATCTAACCACTACTGGAGCTGAATAGTCAAGGACTTCCTTAAAATCATCACACTGTTTCCAAGTATATTGTCCTAAATTTTGGTCTTACCGGAGTAATGGTACATGGCTCTAACAATTGATAAATGGCATAATTTGCTAAAATAATGGCTAATGTTCTGCAAATTAAATATTTTAGACTATCAGGTAAAAGGGAAGGCAGCCTGCTGATAAATTGCCAAATTTCTACAATTCTTTTTCTAGTCATTAGAAATATTTTCCCCTCCCCCTTCCAAATGTAATAAAATAAGCACATTTGAGGATAGTAGATAAATTTGCTCTCAAATCATATTAAGTATATACCCGGGCTGCTAGGAATACATGTGCAGTTCATTCTAGGGAAATAAGTGCTTTGTATATAGCTACCTTCCCAGCACAGGTACAGTACAGATTTGAGGATGTACGTGAATAAACTTAGGTATCAGGTAGAAAGATATCTATATATCTTCTGTTTAGCTTATAGCGTATATTTTCCCATCACTGTTTGCAATAATTGACTACATTCCTGTCTCATCTTCTTTATTTATAACTAGTTACAGACTAGGATTATTCCCAAGGCATACAAACGTCTATAGCGGGCCATTCTCAGCACTGCTACGTTTGTAACATCTTAATTGTGTAATGTAGGCTTTAACTATTGTGAATTACATGGCACAGATTCCAGATCACGACTCCTCTGATATAAATTGCATCATTATAGGGAGTGGAGTCTCATGTGGATTCCCATCTAGGTCTTACCCAGCATTAAGGACTGCACCCCTGTGCATATTCTCCAACCTTTGAACCCTAGAATCTATGTGCCTGATTATAAACGGGGATGGAGGTACAGAACATGTTCCCACAGAACCCCTCTTTCCACGGTTCTATGAGTATTATCACTCAAGACCTTGTGAGGGCTTTCAGCAGCTCCTACTGAAATTTTTAGGTCGACATAAAAATGTTTACAGTCGTGTTACTTTGGGATAACTGGTTCACACAAACCACTCAAATTATCCCTAAAGGCGCATGAAATATCTCTTCTTTCTTGCCCTTTCAATTGCTAATTGCATTTATTGCTGGTTTGTACATGCTGCTTGCCTTTTCTGATGCTTTCTATATCAAAAAGCTATCAATAATGTATGCACAGGGACACCAGCTGAGAGAAATATATTGTAGCTGATAGGAAATCATTGAAATTAATAACTGAGCCATGTGGCTTTCATGGAGCTGTAATGTTGTTTCTAACAATAGATCTCATATATATCTGGTAAAGCCTTCCATCACTCAGTTTTCTTTAAACTTTGGAATGAATTTTATCACCTAAGCAATGGTAGAATATAAAGAAATGACAAGATAGCAGAATTTCAAGCAGATGTCCATTGCTGTCATTCATAGCCCCTTCTGATCTAATTATACTTTTTGACACCTTTTCTCCTTCGTGGCCTCTTCTGGTCTAGATTATGGCAGCTTTTCATCATGATTCTGAAGAATAACACTCTCTTTTAAGGCAAATCTTTCACTCGGGCATGTATATAGGTGATACATTTTCCAAACAAAACTAATTCCACACCCCTGTTAGAGAGGAAATTTTATAAAAGCAAGGGAAAAGTTTGGAGGGCAGGGGGGCACATCTGTACTCAAGATGTACTTGGATACACTAAGAATTGGGAAGTTAAGAGGTGATTGTGAATGGATATGTGTGGCAAAAAATAAATATTGTGCTTGAGTATCCTTTAGTGTGGCAGTTTTGGATATGTTTCCCTTTTTAATCTCCTTTTTTTTTTTTTTTTATTGTTTGACTTGAATTAGTGGTGTGCTTCTCATTATGTGACATGTAATACATGACCTGTAAGTGTTGAAAATGGGTTTCAATTCTAGAAATATGAAGTATTCTTAAAGTCAGGACAATTGCACACATTGTGAGATAGTCTTCACTATAATGTGATTTTATAGTAATGTGGTTAATGCCGGTTCTCTATGCATTTGTGCACTGTTGTGTTTTATGTGCTCTGAAAGTGGCTTTGGCACCCCCAAAACTATTTTGAGAATTTCACAAGTATAAAACTGTTATGGAATTCTCACAAAGACTGTGAAAGTATTTAATTTTCAAGATAACCCCTGCTTTGTCTTATGGTAAAACTCTAACATGACAAAAGGTGGAGATACCATTGTCAAGTTTTGTTACTTCCCACAGCATTTTGCCCTGCATAGGCACTAGTCTCCCAGTGCTTTCCTATGGGGAAAATATTGGTTTCCCTGAGATCATTGTCTCAATGACATCAGCCAAGGATGTGGACGGCAGCATGAAAACCAATAATGCGAGGGAGAAAAGATGAGTAAAATACCACCCAAAAAAGTATAAAAAATATTTCATCTTCCTTAAACAGCCACCAGGGCACTGTGGCATTAGGAATAAATATTTGTTTTCCGAATACTATAGTGTTCTTAAAGGGACACTATAGTCACCAGTGCAACCACATTTATTCCTGACCTTATAGTGTTAACATGACCATCTAGCCCCCCTGGGCCCCTCATGCCTCCATAAATATAGTACAAATCTTACTGTATTCAAGCCAGAAGCTGTAAATCTGCATGCTGTTAGACACAGGAAAAACAAGCAGTCTGCTGACATGTGATAGCCTGATCCAATCACAATGCTTCCCCATAGGACTGGCTGAGACTGACCAGGAGGCAGATCAGGGGCAGAGCCAGCATGATTCAAACACAGCCCTGGCCAATCAGCATCTCCTCATAGAGATGAATTGAATCAATGAATCTCTATGAGGAAAGTTCAGTGTCTGCATGCAGTGGGAGGAGATACTGAATCACAAGATGCTGTGCTCTGCTGACTGCAGATCTGAGTGGATGGAGGCATATTATCCATCAATTCCAAAGTCCCTCTGGTTCACTCTGAGTGACTGCAACTGGAGGTCTCCCTAGCTTTCAATGTAAACACTATTTTCTCAGAAAATAGGGTTTACATAGTTACATAGCTGAAAAGAGACTAGCGTCCATCAAGTTCAGCCTTCCTCACAAATGTTGTTGCTGTTGCTCCAAAAGAAGGCAAAAAACCTGGTCTGAAGCGCTTCCAATTTTGCCACAAACTAGGAAAAAAATTCCTTCTTGACCCCAAAATAGCAGTCAGATGTCTCCTTGGATCAAGCAGCTATTACCTCACTAATTAGAAATTATATCCCTGTATGTTATGTTTTTGTAAGTATTTATCCAATTTCAGTTTAAACATCTGTATGGACTCTGACAAAACCACCTCTTCAGGCAGAGAATTCCATATCCTTATTGTATTTACTGTAAAAAAAACTTTTCTTTGCCTTAGATGAAATCTCCTTTCTTCCAGCCTAAATGTGTGACCTTGTGTCCTATGTATAGCCCTGTTTATGAGTAGATTTCCAGATACAGGTTTGTACTGGCCCCGAATATATTTGTATAAAGTTATCATATCCCCTCTCAGGCGCCGTTTTTAATGGCCTTAGCAACTGCAGATTGACATTGCATATTGCTGCCTAATTTGTTGTCTATAACAATTTCCAAATCCTTCTCGTGTGTGGTTATCCCTAATTCACTACCGTTTAATGTGTAAGTTGCTTGTGCATTCTTAACCCCGAAGTGCATAACTTTGCATTTCTCTATGTTAAATTTCATCTGCCATTTTAGTGCCCAGTCCCCCAATCTATCCAAATCTCTCTGCAGCAAAGCAATATCCTGCTCACATTTTATTACTTTACAAAGTTTTGTGTCATCTGCAAACACTGATACATGGCTTTCAATGCCTATTTCAAGATCATTTATAAATATGTCAAATAGAAGTGGTCCCAAAACAGAACCCTGAGGGACACCACTTACCACTTTTGTCCAGCCTGAAAATTTACCATTAATTACAACTCGTTGTACTCTATCCTTAAGCCAATGTTCTACCCAAGAACAAGAATATTCATCTAGACCAATTTCTTTTAGTTTGAAGACTAACCTATTGTGAGGAACCGTATCAAATGCCTTGGCAAAATCCAAGTAGATCACATCCACTACAACACCCTGATCTATACTTCTACTTACTTCTTCGTAGAATGCAATTAGGTTAGTTTGACATGACCGATGTTTCATAAAACCATGCTGATTATTGCTAATAACAAAGTTCTCCCCAATGAATTCCTGAATTTTATCCCTTAATAGCCCTTCAAATATTTTCCCAGTTACAGAAGTTAAGCTCACAGGTCTATAATTTCCTGGCAAGGATTTTGAACCCTTTTTAAATATAGGAACAACATCTGCCTTCCTCCAATCCTCCGGTACAACACCTGAAACAAAAGAATCTTGAAAAATTAAATACAGAGGTTCACTTATTTCCCCACTTAGCTCCTTAAGTACTCGTGGGTGAATACCGTCAGGCCCCGGAGCTTTATTTACATTAATTTTCTGTAATAGCTGGAGCACCTTGTCTCGAGTTATCCAATCACAAGTTATTTGCAAGTTTTTTGCAGCAATCATTTGCATATCTCTTGCCATAGGATCCTCATTAATATATACTGAAGAAAAATAGTTATTTAAAATTTCTGCTTTTTCCTGGTCTTCATTAGCTAATAAACCCAACTCTGTTTTTGTGTTTACATGAGAGAGGATGCAGGGAGCTATAGTTCTCACCTGAACAACCTCATTAAGCTGAAGTTGTTCAGGTGACTATAGTGTCCCTTTAAGTAGAATTCACTTATTGGAGTTAACTCTGAGTGCACATGCATTCAATCTCCCAATGCCTTCTTTTGGGAAAGCATTGGATTGCCAAAGATCATCAATCTATATGATGCCTATGTTGCATAAGTATAAATACAAAAATATCATTAAAATTTTGATTGGAAATGCTTTGGTTAAATGTAGTTGTATTTTATCCCCTTCCAGAGCACCAGAAGATGTGTTACTCTGCTTTAGTCTTATCGATGATTTTCTCTATGGGAGAGCCTCTTCCATACCACCATTATGGTAAGTATCCATTATAGTATGTTTTAAGCATTTCTTCTTTTTCACTTCTAGGTGACTTTGAGTTCCCTTGTAGCACTGTAACTTTGTTTTTTGCCCCAAGTGTCACAATAAAACCTAGTCTACAATGCAATTGCAGGATGTTTTAGACGCTATACTGAAGAACTGGAACTCTTTTGTTACAATAATCTTACTTAATGCCAGTTAGATGTTTGCAGAACTCAATAATCAATTTAAGATTAGCTTTGGGTTGTGCTTTTATTTTTCTAAAAATCACTTCAGCTTTAAAGTTCATTAATTACCTGTCCTGTCATCCTGACATATAAATTACATTACCTCTGAAGTGCTGTACATGCAGGCACATCACTTTTAAAGTAATGTGCATGCATCATACAGACTTTCTGTACATATGCCTGGAACATCATGGCTACACAATGTTGCCCTGGTTGTAAAACCAAGTATGTTTTTTTTTTTATATATATATTTTTTTTCTTTCATATTTTGCCAGCTGTACACACCACTGTAAATGCTTTGAGAACTGTTTGACTCCTTAAAATTTGGGGTGGGGAGGATGGGGGCCGCATCAGAACACCCCCGCCACTCCTGGCGCATTATACCAGTACATTTTTGTGGTTATGATGCCTAGTGTGTTCCTTTTACATCGTCACACAAAGGTCATAGCATTTAAAGGACGCCCTGGGTACAGCTACAGCGTACAGTAGCCACTTTGGTGTCCTCTAAGCCAAAGTTTCCCAGAGCCCCTTTAAGTAATATTTAAATGTATCAAATTCTAAGTGCAACAAAAAATTACCAGTTGCAGCCACTTTAAAAAAAAAACAAAAAAAAACAACTTATATGTGAGTGCTATAAGTTTTCTACTTTCAATTATAAAATAAATATTTTTTTATTTTAGTTTTTTACTTTACTTTAGCAATATTCATACCCATAATTCTAGTTGATTGCTAGTATGTTTTTCATAAGGCAGCTGTTTCAGCGGAAAGGCCTGCCAACTATACAGATGTGGAAACGATGGATTGACTTGCACCATGCCGGTGGCTGTCAGTGGCATGCGTTGCTCATGGAAGTTGTTTAGTAAAGGCGGCACTGTCTTTCTTCCTTCAGGCATGCTTTAAATCTCCTTCTGGCATTGGTGATGATTTGTTTTGATCCAGTACATGAGTTGTGACATATGTTATGTTCATAGTGCTCGCAATCAATGAACCGAGACATGAGTCATGCACCAGCTGTGAATATAAACACATCTATGTTACTCTTGTTGTGAACAGAACATCTGAACTCCCAGTTTGTCCAGTTCCTGTTGGACGTTATTGAGAACGGTTTGCCATCTGATGTTACGGAGCAGCTGCCGGACCTGTTTATCAATGTGCTTCTGGCTTTTAACCTTCATATACCAGGTGTGAACTCAGTATGTCTCATTGAACAAAACGTTCAAGTGTTTGTGCGTGTGTTTGTACAGGTAGGAATGATTTGACTATACTGAATTTCCTTTAACCCTTTAGATATGTCATTCACCCGACAAAGCTGTGATCATACCCTTTACTACTCCTATTCTCTGTTACTCTATAAAAGAGCCAGCATCCCATTAACTGAAGCAAAGTTCATGTAAAACATAACGAAGCAGGATGGCTAGCAGTTTTACAGTCACCATAACTCATCATGGGGGGTTAAGATTGAGTCTATAAATAAACAAAAGGTCACCTACTGGCTCAGATCATTTAACAATTACAAGTGGCAGAACCAGTCAGCAGTCCATCAAACATGGCAGGCTCACAGAGAGACAACAAGAAGTTAAAGAAACACTGCAAGCACTATAACCATTACATGGTGGTTTTAAAACATTTGACTTCTTACATTGGTGTGGGGGAGGTGCCAGGCTCAACTGGAACAAAAATAAAGTATCAGCACTAACCCTAAATTTGTGTACCAGCCCAAAAATTAAAAAGGGGTGTGCATAAATTTAAAAAAAGTCCCCTAAGTGATTCAATTTTAAAGATTTATAGTCCATGTAACGCAAAAAAAGTAATAGTGTGTATTGTCTACACACTCATTTGAGACATAACAGTGTATTATTACACCTTTATTTAAAGTGAAAGGTACATCAAGTAATCTGTTGTTTACTTTTCAAATCATACTCCACTTCATTATCATTCTAGTGTAAAAGAAGAAAATGCAGAATCAAACTTCCTATATGTGCTAATTAAAAATACATTTGTAGTGGGGAGGTGGAGCTTAGCGGCAAACCAGAGCAGTCACCAATTTCACCAGCTAAGCAATAAGCACACAATCTGCTAATTAACGGCCGACCTACCATCCATCCACAGACGAACAAGTTGGATACACACACGGGCATCCTGCCGATCCAGCAGATGTCCTTTCTTTCACTCCCCGGGCAAGAAATACAGCTGCAAAGGCCTACCGCAGAGTGGAACGACCCCTGGAGTTCGCCAGAGGATTACCAGAGTGGAGTGCAGCTGCAATCCTAGATCCCACACACCGAACCCCATACTCTTGAGGAGATGGGGCGACGGTCACAAAAAACAACCACGCTTGCAACCAAACCGCAACGCAACATCAGTCTCATGCTGCAATCTTTCCTGCTGGCCCAGTCTCTGGCTCCCCCGGAGGCCTCCCCCGCGCAGTCCATAGACAGGGATTCCACACAGAGCCTAGCTACCACTACAAAAACAGGGAGACTACACAGGCTACTGGACGCCCTATCCCTGCCACTAAACAGGACATTCTGGACATGCTGATTGGGCTACAACTAAACCTGAGACATATGTGGGAAGCAGACTTGAAGGTTTTTGCAACTGAGGTACAAGCAGTGCAAACCTGCACCCAAGCCATAGAAGAAGAGATACAGGGCCTAAAACATGGCATGGATTGTCTAAACAACATGGTGCGCCAACTGCAAGCCTCATAACCTCACTTGGCAAGTCACCCTGCTGAACGACAGAGGTAGAAGGAAGAACATAAAAATCGGGGGTATCAGAGTCTGTGCTTCTGGAAGAACTCCCACACTTCATCAGGCGCCTAGTGACCTCGCTACTACCCACGAAACAAACCAAACATTTCACATTTGATGGCATTATCCTAAGATGTCAAACTCTATCTGATAAGATGGCCTTAATGGCAGTACTTAAAGGACAGACGCCTTATGATTTTGAATTGAGCCAAATAGCATTTTTTTAAAGGACTTAAGCAGAGCCACACTACTTTGGTGAAAGAGCATGCAGCCTATTACCAACCATCTCCAGACGGCGGGACTCCCCTACAGATGGTCCACCCCACGGTCATTGTAGGTCACCAAAGCCAGTGAAACATACAAAATCTCTGACCCCACGAAGGGACCTGCCCTGCGAGCAACCTTGGGACTCTCTAATCGTATCACCACCAAACCGAGCTCACATATACGTACCTCAACACTGGGAGATGAGAAGCTCCACGACATAAGGCTTGAACTCTTAAGACCAGCAAACCTATATATCTCTGTTTTATAGTTTCTGTTTGTTTAGTTTCTGCTTGTTCCTGCCACAAGCCCGTACTACCAGGACTTCTTTACCTCCAGCATGGAGAACACAAACTCCGCCAGTTTCGGCGATCGCTCACCACTCAGATGATATATCTTTCCCCCCCACCTCCATCGCCCCATGGTAAAGGGGTAATACCCTCAGGGAAGCACTTACATGGTAAAGGGGTAATACCTTCAGGGAAGCACTTGCACTGAGCACCCTCAACATACTGGATAAAGCCTCACACTAATTGCTCCATCCACAAAGAGTGGTCCCAAGCAACTATTCTCACGCTACACACATGATGGCTTTTACCTAGTCTATTCCATAGTTTATTCATTCAGAGTGCTGTCACATTTTAGTAGACTACCCAATGCGTGATAGTCCAAGCGATCTCTTTAGGCGCAAGCGACTAAGACACCACACTTAACTTCATAGCTTAATTTGATGCCAGACACCTCACCAAGGGTCTCACACACAGCTAGTCTACCTCGAACAAGAAATGTATGCATAGTATAACACGTTACAACCTAAATTTTGAAGTTCCTAACACATGATGAAACCTTATAACTGCCTAGCGCACTCATAACTGTGCAATGTCATAACTATGATTAGACCTGTTAAGTGCCTGTTAATATGACTTTATCTTAATAACATGTTCCAGCCTATGCTAAACCATTTGCACTGAAAAAATGAAAGATTTATTTAAAAAAGTACATTGTAGTGAATACAAAAAAAATAATAAAGTGCCATAATATTGAAAAGACTCTAGCCCATTTAATAATCTGGGTTCCCAATAAAATTATAAATCAAATCTAATTTGTAATAAAACTTTACCTACTTAGTGATTTCATATAGTGCAGACTATGAGAACACACATACAGAGATGTAAGGTCAAGGGCTTTAGATGAGATGCATAAATATATAGTTGCTTATACAAAAGGCCAGCTATGACTGGTCCATACAACACGTATCTGTTTTGCAATAGATCAAGATTCTGAACTGAATCTTGTTGCCCAGCATCTATTTAACCAAGAACATGTATTTTATCCTTTCACAGTCCCGGCAAACAACTTAATCATGAAAGCCTTATGCAAGGTCTCCAATGTCAAGATTTTCACAGAGAAGCTGCTGTTGCTGTTAAATAGAGGTGGTAAGTGTCTAGATACTTGTGCTTTCTAGCCTGCTGTACTTTTAGTTTAAAGACCATTCTGGGGGAGCTTTTCAAAGTGAAGCCACCTTTTATCTGAATCTTCTTTTGTTTCCATTTCTCGGGTAGATGATCCAGTTTGCATCTTCAAGCACCAGCCTCAGCCCCCACATTCTGTCCTGAAGATCCTCCAGGATGTGTTCTCCAGCAAAGACACTGCAAATCTCTTTTACCATTCGGATATGATGGTTCTGATTGACATAATTGTGCGTCAGATTGCCGACCTTTCACCTGGAGATAAGGTGAGCTTTGGGAGGGAAGAGAGTTCTCACTTAGTTTAATCAGCGATGTGGGGTTAGGCTAGGAGCCTCTATACTACAGTGCGTTGCATTTGTGTTGGGGGTAGGGAGAGTGTTAATAAGAATACATTAGAGCAGGCTTCCCCCAAACTCCGGCCCTCCAGGTGTTGCTGAACTACAACTCCCATGATTCTCAGCCTATCTATTTCATTCATAGAATCGTGGGAGTTGTAGTTCAGCAACATTTGGAGGGCCGGAGTTTGGGGAAGCCTGCATTAGAGCAATGAAAAATAAACCTGTTGACTTGGGTAGCTACGCACATAATGCATAAATAGTCCTCTCACACCTCACCCCTCTTTCAGTCCTTACATTGGCTTCCTGTATCCTATAGGAGTCAATTCAAAGTGCTAACCCATACCTATAAAGCACTGAATAATCTTAGCCCCTCTTATATCTCCTCACAGATCCATAGGTATGCCCCTTCTCGGTCCCTCCGCTCTGCCCGTGACCACCTTCTGTCCGTCGCTCGTACCCGTACAGCCAACTCTCACTTGCAGGACATTTCGCGGGCGGCTCCCGTCCTATGGAATAGCCTGCCTACCACCATCAGACTCTCACCTAGTTTTCAGTCATTTAAGTGCCCTAAAACTCATTTCTTTAGGAAAGCCTATGGCCTCCCAGACTAACCTCCACCTCACATACCTGCCTCTTACTCTCTCCTTAAGGGCAGCACTCTACTCTCTACTCCAGCTCTGCTCCACTCCCACCTAATTTGACTTCTTTTCCATGTCCTAATGTGTCTTATACCCCACCTCCTATAGACTGTAAGCTCGTTTGAGCAGGGCCCTCTTCAACCCTTCGTTTCTTTAAGTTTTCTTGTAATTGTCCTATTTATAATCAAATCCCCCCTCTAATAATATTGTAAAGCGCTACAGAATCTGTTGGCGCTATATAAATCGCAATAATAATAGTAATTGTGTAGAATTAAAAAAAGTGAATTGGAACCCATTACATTGTAATGCATTCTATAGATAGTTTAATCAAAAATACTTAGCTTGCAAGATTTCACATGGTCTGTGTGCACTATGGATTTGTAAAACAAAAAAAACCAAAATCTAAAAAAAATTAAAAAATCCATGCATAGCATGAATTCCAACATGACATTACATTTTTCATATCCTTATTCTGTGTTGATCCTCAATTATCTGCGCTGTTAAAGCAATGATATTTACATAATTGATTTCCACTATTGAGATTTGTGATATTTACGGTCTGTGTGGGAATTTAGACATATGTCTTCATTTTCCTCTTTTTACCTTGCAGTTCAGCAGTACTGCAAATGTGACATGGGTACATGTTAATTAAACGTTTCATACAAGATACATAATGGACACGATAACAGCCACAATATATAGTATAAATCTTTTATTAGAACAACTGAAACAATCAATACATAAAAGGACAAAGCAACAAAAAAGGCAAACAGTACACCACACAGTAATTACCTAAATATCATAAGCCTCAAGACAGAAACACGAGCCACCAATCCCCCCAACGTTGCAGCACCTAATGGTTGGTCAGACACCCTTGATAAAGGCAACCAGTGGGTGCCCAAACAATGGGGGGGATTGGTGGCTCGTGTTTCTGTATTGAGGCTTATGAGATTTAGGTAATTACTGCATGGTTTGCAGTTTGCCTTTTTTGTTGCCTTGTCCTTTTATGTATTGATTGTTTCAGTTGTTCTAATAAGACTATGAATCGTGGCTGTTATAGTGTGCATTCTTTATCTTGTAAAGATTGGTTTATTTAGGCATATTAGGGAGTGCCTGTATAGTTTGCACTTAGCTGTTGTGTAGCATATTTTTTTGTCTCTCCATGTGTTTTGGGCTATTATAATTAAAAGTAACATGTCATGTAGACGTGCTAGCCATATTATTTTGATTTATAAACTCCCTGGCTTAAAGTAAATATTTAGGATACATAAGCTGTTAATTTCAGCCTCTCTCTTCTCAATTGCTTTCTCCGGTGATACTGTCACACTAGGAACTGAAAACTGCGTGCAGTCATGTGATGGTACCTGGATGTTGAACTTGAACTAAAAGTAACCATTTCAGTGCAGTAATCCCGTACCTAAAGATGTAAATTTTGTACTGTGGGTCATATATGTTCTGATGCAGTCAGGTAAGAAGGGAGCTTGAAATTAACTGCTTGGATTTAACGTGCCTGCAGGTTAGGAACTACGATTTTAGAGGTTTAGGAAACGGATTTGTTTGTGATGCATAGTCCATGCACTGCCCCTCTGGTAAAATACATTGATTAATTTATAATTTGCTATTTTTCTGTGCCTTTATTATGGCAAGTGCACTAGAGCACAGAAAAATCTTTAATATGTTGTATTGTGTTGTTTTTCCAATCGTAACACTAGAAGAATTGTGTGAACACTTTATCTTACAGCTACGGATGGAGTATCTCTCACTGATGCACTCCATCATTCGTTCAACCGACTACCTCCAACATCTGCACCGCCATCAGGACCTTCACGGAATCCTGCAGCGCATTTTAGCTGAAGTAGAGGAAGAGCCGCACTGTCAGATGGATAAAATGATCGCTCAAGAAATATACAAAGAGTTCCCCGAGTTCTCTCCAGAAAGTGGATAAACGTCAACGGATGTGGCACATGATTTGGTTATCTCTACTAATCACTTATAACATTATCATATGCACCTTTTAACTACCTTTTAACTGCACAGGAACATTTCCATCGCTGTTAACCCTTGTCGTTCTGAGGTGGTGTCATTTCTTTTCATGCCTCTTAGCAGTAACAGACCATGTTCCCCATAAGTACTCATTTATGACTTACCCAGTGCTGCTGTTTTTTTTTGTTTTTTTTTTAAAAAGAATCTTCGTTCAGCATACCTTTCTGCATTAAGTAGATTTCATATATGTGCATACTGTATTGTTTGGTTGTTGCAAAGATTTCTTTGACTGAGTCAGTGCCAGGCTGCTCACTAAAAAGTACTTTGAGGCAATATTGGTCACAAGGTTCGAGAAAATGCAAAACCTGTCCAGTGTCTTTTTTTAAATCTACCAACACCAATATGTGAAACTTTACATTTTTGGATTTTGCCCCACCTTTTTTTGACTGATGCAAATCTCATCCCTTTGTTAGCACTGAAATTGTTAGGAATTACTTCAAACTGGATCTAAATAGCGTCTGACTTTTTTGATAGTACTTTGCCCATTGTGTTCGTTTTGTGTTTTTTCGTGTGTATAGATTATCAGCCTAACAAGCATAGTTTAGGTTACAAATCTCTTAACTTTGTTTCTAACAAAAAACATTTAATGATTAAACTCATGCAGCTATCTACTCCATGGTCTCTAGGTACCAAATGTGACATTGTTTCAGGGTCAGTATTGCAGCTTGCAGTTGCATGCCATTAGCGGATGATCTAAAATTGTCTTAACACACAATAAATGTCTCCAATTCCTATACTTGCAAAATTCTACATATTTGAGTGGGTTCCTTTCCTTATTGATGTCTCTAATATAAATATCTTTAAATGTGTTTATAAATAGTAAAGAAATGACTTGCTTTGTAAGCAAATAACTGTCCTAGGGCGTTACCAGAATCCTCCTTTATTTTCCCTAATATGACAAAAAGTAGCATGGTAACCAGAGAGCAATGTTCACTTGAAGACTCAGGGAGGTTTACAATGCATTTATCAATAAAAGAGGTAATCTGCTTCCGTGTTTGTTAGGATAACAGAATAATAGACATAGTTTGCTATGCAATGCTCCAATATTAGCATATTACATATGTTTGCTTCTTTAACTTGGGTCATGTGTTCTAAGCTAGAGGAAAAAAAATACAGACAAGCATGAAGCGGGGACTAGGCATGTAGATTGTTCTAGGCTTACATCACAATCTATGGACCTAAAATGATGGTGCTTAGTGCAATAACCCACAGCTTAAAAATAGTTATTTACAGAGGGGTAATAATCATAACTCACTAGTTTATCTATACTATTGATTGGTAAAGGAGAAGATAGGCATAAAACCACAATTTCTGCCTGTCTGATACAAAATGTGTTTAGCAAGATTTTGCTGCTGCCGCTGAAAGTGAAGAGCCATTTTTTGTAAACCATTTTACTTTAGAGGTGATTGTACCCAATTCAGATGGGCTTCTACAAAACCCATATTCATTAGGCTTCTACCATGGCATGCAAGTAAGGCTTAAGGCTTTATTCACTAATAGTTGATTGTAAGCCAAACTGCAAAGCATAGGCTAAAATGGAAACGGGTCTCTAACTCCACTACAGTTAAAGCTGGACTGTCATGCAATTCTGTCTACAATTTGGTCTAAAAGAATGTTACGATTTTGGAATCGTATCGGTTGTTTCCTTTAGTAAGGGGCTCTATAGTTATATGAATTATTCTTTTCGGTACAGGGGATAAGTATACAGATTAGTAACATCACTGCACCCACTGTAGAGAGCCACCCTGTGGAGTGTATTGAACTCTGTATTAATAACAAAGGGAAGAAAAAGATCCTCGTTACAGCTACAAAAAGACTATGAATACCAAATTGCATAGAAGAACATGACTCTGCTTGTTGACTCTAATGGGTGCATTACAGTACGGATGTGCACTGAGTCCAGTCCTTTATTCACTTGCATTGCTACTTAACTCTGCCTGTATTTCTAATCAGTCCCTGGTGTAACTTTGCAAAAACCACAAACTGAGAATTTAATTTTATGGACCTTTCCTAAATGTCATAACGCCCACATCATCCGCTATGCAGAACAATGTCGTACAATGAACTGCATAATAAAGCATGCACTACAAAGAAAACTAACAAAAAAATGTCTGTCCTTTCTCCCTTTTTATATGTAATAAATCATAGAAAATAAATTTGTTCGCTCTATTCTCTGTTTTTTTTGTATTCATTTTAACTAAAAGCATCACGTGGATTAAAAGTAACATAATGTGTTGTAGACCGTTTAAATTTGATTATAAGTTTTTAGGAATAAAATGAAGTACAGAGGACATGGCTGAGTACTACACGATCAGATAGAAGGGATGCCAAATTTACCATGTTTTCCAATGTACAAACGTGATTCCGTGTACAGTGTACCAATCTTATGGTACAGGATGGATGTCTGATGTCTTATTAAATAGGTAAGCATCACTTGACAATTTGTTTTTTGTTTGTTTTGTTTTTGTTTTTTAAACCCTCAAGCAAACACTTGAAAACAAACATAAAAACTGAATTTAGAAAATTATGTAGTTTATAAACCTAGTAAAATTGCATTTTTGGGCTCACCTCTCATGGGAGTTTAACACTTCCCACATCCCTTCCCTCAACCCCAAACCCCCAACCCTCCCTCCCCCCTGCTTTTTTTCCTTTTCTTTTGTGTCAGACCAGTCTAGTAATGACAGACCCATGGGGCATCATTGTGAAGCAGCATGAGAAAGAAACCCGACACACTGATCACACTTCCTCTCTTCTCCCTCTGTCAGAATGTGGCAAGATGACTGTCTCCAAGCTGCACATGTGTGTGACTGTCAGTCATTCCCAGTGCACTTCTCCAGTATTCCTAGGGATAGGCCACTGATTGGTTAGGTCAATGTCATTCCCCTGGAGTTGGTGTGGAAAGCATAAGAAAGAAAAGGCAGGTAAATATAAATATATATATATATATATATATATATATATAATTTTTTTTTTTTTTAAAACATACCTGCTTCTTTTTCAGCCTGCAAAGTGAGGCAACTGTCTCAAAGCTCAAGCTTTTGAATGAGACTCTGGTCTTAAAGTGATGCATGTCCGTTTGAAATGGTTCCCCCCTAATCACTTGATTCATGAATTGACTTCCTTCTGAAGCATGAATACTACAGCATGTTTAAGATTTGCCCATCAGCTGCAAGTGATATTTATTATGAAAAACATGATGGATCCAGCATCACACAATTTACATCATAAATACTATCACATTCGCACATTGCTTCCATTACACTCGTGCACATTCAGAGCTTTTTCCCTAAACCACACTTGTCTTGACTGTGTGCTTAGGGTCACTGCTTGTTGGAAGGTATACCTTTGGCCCAGTCTGAGATCATGATAACTCTGGACCAGCTTTCCAGTCTCCCAGCCCTGCCACTGTAATATGCCCCAAAGCATTGTGGTAGTTTACTGGCATGAGCAGTGCATAGTTTCATTCAGACACAACACTTTGAATTGAAAGCAAATCGTTCATTCTTCATTTTATCAGACCTGGGAACAGTCTGTAAGTCTTTTTAGGTGGGGTTACCTGCTCAATTCCAAGGAGACTTTCATGTGTGTTGCAATGTGTAAAGGTTCCAGACTAGCCAGTCTTTCAAACACCAGATCCGTGGAGAGTAGTGATGGTTGTTGTCCTTACGTATGATTCTCACACTTGATCTCTGGATATTACCTCTCAGACAAAGGCAATTCTCCTGATTTGCGCAGTTTGGCTGGACCAGCACTAGGAAGATGCCTTGTTGTACCAAACATTTTCCACTTAAGAATGCAGAAGGTTATGCTCTTGTGACCCTTCAATACATCCACATTTTTTGTAGCCTTTCCCAGATCTGTACCTCTACACAATCATGTCTCTAAACTCTGCAGGTAGTGCTTTTGCACTCGTGCTTGATTTTTGCCCTGATATGCATTTACAGCTGTGAGACATTGTGTTGACAGGTTTAAGCTTTTCCAAGTCATGTCCACTCTAATAGAATGTGCCAGAGATGGATTCCAAGCAAAATGTAGAAACATCTCAACGATGATCCAGAGAAGTGGTCTGCAATTAAGCTAAATATCAAGTGTTAAAGCAAAGGGTCTGAATAAGTATGTCAATGTGATAGATGTGTGTGTGTATAATTTTTTCTTTTTTTCATGATAACACTTTTGGAACTGTTCACCTTGTTATGCTTATTTAAATATTTTTAGATTATTAAAGATGTCTGAGAAAAGCTAGAAGGAAATATATTAAATAGCCACTCACAGAGACCATAAAGTCTGAAAGTCTCTAGATCTCTCAAGCTTTTCATCTTCAAGATTATAAGTGCCCAAAATAAAGTCCTTTGGGATGGTTTGACTTTGTAACAAGAGCCATGGCCTGTGCTGCTGTTACTGTGGAATATTATTTCAAATGCTTGCATTACAAAAAATAAAAAAGGGGGGGGGGTGGGGTGGGGTATGTTATAATGAACTCATAATGGCCGTTACTCTCCATTTTAGATTTGCTCCTAAAAAAACAAAATATCAAACAGTCGGTTATGACAGCTAGAGTCCGAGCCAGTCCCACACCTCCTCTGATATACAACCACAGGACAGAAAGGAGTATATTCACTAAACAAGACCGCTGACAAGAGTATAGCAAATTAGCCGCTTTAGGACTCCATTTCCATTTGTTTTTTACTTAAGGACACAAGCACATTTTTACTATGTGTGTATTCAACCACAATTTTCATCTTTCTTATTTCAGATTCAACTTTGTCATTGTACCATCTACCAACAAGGGCAATAAACAGATATGCAGCTTAATAGTTTACCTTAATCACGTGACATAGTAGTGCTTAATGTAAGCCCAAAGCCATGTGCATAAAGTGCAACAAAAAGCAAATCAGGAAAGTGCCAAAATGCAAGCACAAAAAACGTGCAATATTATAAAGTGAACACACAATTCATATGCAAAAATACATGTGCAAAATGTGAACACACAATTGTGTGCATGAAGGTGCAGAGCATGCTCACATCGACCATGTACTTATTAAAGTGCAGTATGAGCACATGATCGTGTTAATAAAAGTGCATAATCGTGCATAATAGTGCAAATGTGAGCATTATAGTATGTGCAATTATGTGCTATGTCACAGACGTAAAGTGTTGTATGTTAAACCTACCCAAGTGCATAATAAAAACCACTAAGTGCAACCTACCAATCAATGCAGCCTCATGTATCCTCCTGGCAGACAAACCAGTATGACTAAAACTTAATACAATTATATTCTTAGTAAACTATCACTTATAGGTTGAGTTAGAAAAACATTACCAAAGTATGGAACAAAACTATTCCCAACCCTACGGATCCTACAATACAGACTCTTAAAGTGTTTTCCAGAGGCAGGTAGATTGAAGAATCCATAATTGGGATTCTCATTTATTGGGAGGGGGGATACATTTTTTTCAAAGGTTTTAGCAATAATGTGCGCATGATTAGTGCAGCTTAAGAAAAGTAATTCAAGATTAAATTATTTGTCCTAATTTACGATTACTGACCTGGTGTGCTATTTGTCCTTAGTACATAACATGCCTAGGGTTACAATATTTTTTTTTTGGTAGTTACAGGTCACACAAAAAAAAATACCGTACGCAAAATATGCAGTTCTTGGCTTTCAAGGTCATGTGTGCTGGGGGTGCAACTAGTCCACAGCACACAATTACAAATATCTCCGTATGTGTGCGGTGTTTCAAGCTTGAAATACTGACTCCTTCCATTTTTACCATTTTTAATCACTAAAGTGGTCATGGTGGTTGGAATAAGCCTTTAAAGGATCACTATAGGGTCAGGAACACAAACATGTATTCCTGACTCTATAGTGAAGATCCACCATTTAGGTGGCTTGCCCCCCCCCCAAGCTCCCTCAGAATGGGTTAAAACTCACCTATTTACAGCACTGTGCGGGACTGCTGGCTCTGGTCCTGCCCCCTTGGTGACCATCAAAATTGCATTTTTTATTTTTTTTTGCCAATCCAATGCTTTCCCGTAGAGAAAGCATTGGCAAGGGCGGGGCCAAACACTGTTGTGGCCAATCAGGACCTCCTCATAGAGATGCATTGAATCAATGCATTTCTATGAGGAAAATTCAGCGTCTCCATGCAGAACGTGGGGACGCTGAACGGCAGGGCTGCTTACTGTGCAGCCCTGAGCCAGGAAGCCCCTCCAGTGGCCATCTAAGGAGTGGCCACTTGGAGGTGTCCCTAGGGGCAATGTAAACACTGCCTTTTCTCTGAAAAGGCAGTGTTTACATGAAAATGCCTGAAGGGAGCTATTATACTCACCAGATCAACTTCTTTAAGCTGTAGTTCTGGTGACTATAGTGTCCCTTTAATGTGTATGTCATAACCTGATATGTGCTACATTAGTACAAACCCCATATTGTGTTACATATTCTGAGTACAATTCCTCTGATATATGCCTTTGTCACTATCCTGTGAAGCTACTGCATTATATAAGAGACCTGACCATATCAGTTTTTACATTTAGAATTTTGATGGGCCTATGTCTCATTTTGTGGCATTATAGCAGTTTGACTGTTCAAATTACCCCACAAAGACTAACCATTTGTCAATGTAGATACTCCAAGGTACCTCATATGGTGCATATTGTGACTTAATATGTTCCCATTTTTTTTTTTTACCAGTTTATGTCAAAGTTTTTGGCAATTTTTTCCCCGCATTTCTTACATACAAGTTCTATTTTTGCTGGCAGTTTTTGTAAATCTAATATGTACCGGTATAATCAAACTCCCCACATTCTGCTCAGCAAACTCTTCTGGCTAAAACAATATCCCCAAGGTATGTCTTTGGCACTATCGTATTAGGTTATCTGGTCATATTTATACCTGGGACTCCATGGTGTGAGCATGAATTTAACCCTGCTCACACTGCATTGTAGCAATGGGGATTGAAATAAATAATTGAGTTTCTCTGTTACAATCCGGAAACTGGTCTCTGCTGGCTAAATACTGCATTGTAGAATTACTCCATATGATTCTTAAAGGGTACCTGTAATGACAAAAATGTAATCTTAAATGCTAGACTAGCAAATGTCTAGATTTTTCTCAAATCAGAGGTAAGTAAAAAAATTAAATAAATAAATCCCTCCCCCTTTTCTCAGTTCAATCTGTGCCGATTGCCACATTTATAAAAAGGCTGTGCTCTCGATGTCTTTTACTCTCCTGTTTCATTTCAGCCTAAGGGTAAGCAATTCCTGTA